TCCATTCCTTACCCGCCCACTCTCGCCCTGTAAATCTGTTTGGAAAATTATCTTTTTTTTTTCATTCTCTCTTCATGTTCGAACCATCTAAGCATGTCTTTCCCAACAATACATAATTAAACAAATAAATATAAATATTAGACAGCTACAGCATCACATACGTTACTGTGATCGCAAAGTAAGTAGCCAAAGCACTTGTGTTATGGAAATCGGAAACAACGACGGTACCACAAATACCCAGACCCGAGACAATATAGAAAAGTTAGTTTTCCACATTGACTCGACCGGGGATCGGACCCGGGACCTCAGAGATGACATCACCTCGTAAACCGGTGTGCAAACCACTGAACCACGTAGGTCATGTGATACTTTGTTTTCTCTCAGAAAGGCCTATTAGTAGTTACAATCTTACGTAAAATAACAAGTTCCATAATGAGGGTTGGAGTCTGCACTACGTCGGAAACCTGTGTTCAGTATTGCCAACTAGACTAAGATTTAAAAGTCGCTAGTTGTCATTGAAACTATTCCCATTCCATGTGAAAAGTCGATTCTTATCTTATGCTCCTCATTACATGGTTCATTTTATTTGCAAGAAGTGTAAATCAAGGCATAGACAAAAGACCAATGCCCTTGAAATAAGAAACCTATTGAGTAGCGCGTCCAGTCTCGGCTACGATAAAACCATATACAACTAAAAGGAGAAACCTAATGAAATAGGCGCCAAAAACTTGCTCAATTCTATACTCGTGGTTACGGCTCGATTTTGTAAATATTTTTTAAATAATATTTCGTTTATTCAAACTGCCTCCGTGGCCGAACGGTAACCAAACCCAGAGATCCCAGTTCCGGGAATAGGAACTGGGAAAAATATTTGTATGGTCTACATTTATTTCTCTCGTGAGTTTGGGCTTAATTTGTGGTGTTCTATGTGTATGTGTCCATGGCACCCGCGAATCAGGGTTTCCCTAGTGCCATGAGTGCATTATTTGTTATTTCGTTTATTTAATATTGTTAACATATAAAAAATCCTATCAAAATATTCATATTCCGCGACCAAAGTGTTGTAAAGGTCACCACCCTTGAAGCAAGTGACCACTTCGAGGCGCGGGCGGTGCGCGGGGCGGCGGCGTCCACGAGACGCAGTGGACAGGAACGCCTTGAAACGAATACAAACGTTTCTTTTTAACCGACTTTAAAGAAGGAGGAGGTTCTCAATTCGACTGCATTTCGTTTGTGTGTATTTTACGCGATTACTCCGATATCTGTAAACCGGTTTCGATGATTAATTTTTTTGTTCAAATTTAAATGTGACCACGACTAAAGTACGGGGGTATACTTTAGTAGTGGTCACGCTTAGTTATTATTTGAAATAGGACCAATACGGAGGTACCTATTTTCCACCAAAAAAAGAATCGGTTCACGAATGTAAATCAGAAAAAAAGTAATCGCGTGACATGCATTAAAAAAAATAGAGTCGAATTGAAAACAAGCGCACGGATCTTGGCAAGTGAAATATGGTGTTCTATCACAAAGGTGACTGATGTGATTGAGCAGATTTGGACAGTCTGGGTACAATGGGAGTTTGCGCTTAAGGCAGTGTGCGTATTGACGAGCACAGAGGTGCGATGGGGTGACGGGGCAGTCTCGACGGGCCACTGTGGTCGGTAATTGATCATCTCAGTACCTACAAAATACTAAAAAACAGACCTCAAAATTTCGTGGAATCACATCTATTTGCCAAGTTTTATTGAAATCGGTTACCGGAAAGTACGCGAAAGCGGATCTAGTTTACCACCCTCAGAGGTGGAACATTTTCTTCAAATTTAAGTGGGACCACTCCTGAGGTACCGTCATTCCAACAAAAAAGAAATCATCAAAATCGGTTCTTAAATTATTATCTTTAAGAGTTATCGCGTAACGTACATTAAAAAAAATACAGTCGAATTGAGAATTTCCTCTTTTTTTAAGTCGGTTAAAAAGAGCTAGCAACTGAGGGCAGTTTATGTGGTTATGCAGTACTTTAAATATTAATGCTTTATTTATAGGAAATTTTATAATCTGACAAAAAAATTACGAAAAGGATTTATGTGGCATAGTATAATGTATCAATTATTTATTTGTAAGAATGTTTGTAATCATAATGGTATATGTACTTAGATATTAAATAAGGGGCACAACATAAAGTTGTAAATTTTGATATATTTTTACATGTAAAGTCAAAAGCACGTCAAGGTTGACACTTTGTACTTTGGACAGTTCGTATCGTAAGCGACATAGAGTTAGATTTAAGTCTTAGGTGTAAAGCATCACGTGCTCTTGACACTGTACTTTTGTTTAGATACTGCATGTCAGAATTGACCAAAATGTGTGTGTGAAACAGCATTCTGTAAACATCACCATCAACTTTTGCAGTTACCACATTTAGAGCAATCAATTAATTCAACGGAACTCGTGTGAATTACAATTGTGTAATCGTAGTACGTTTTTCTATCCACTGTTGTGATTGTTGTACATACATTTAGACTTTAACACCCAAAAAAACTCCGCACACAAACCGCGGTATATCACCAAGTATTTGCTGTAACTTTTTACAAACATTTCAACTACAATGGTTATAATTAACTAACACCACTTTTTTTACTTTGCGGTAAAAACACAGTGTAAACTGTACCGCAACTCATTAAATCATTACACTAGAGATAACACGTTTAACCACACCAAACAATTTAACTATAATTTATTAATATAATTTTTTTTTAACCGACTTCTACAAAAGGAGGAGGTTCTCAATTCGATTGTATGTTTTCTTTTTCTTTATTTTGTATTTATGTTACGCGATAACTCTAACTAACATTTGTGAACCGATTTTGATGAGACTTTTTTGTTGGAATGAGGGTAGGTACCTTAGGAGTGGTCCCATTTAAATTTGAAAGAAATATTCCACCTCTAAGGGTGGCAAACTAGGGGATGAATCCGGTTCTCTCCCGCGCACTTTCCGGCAACCGATTTCAATAGAACTTGGCAAATAGATGTAATTCTACGAACTTTTGAGGCCGGTTTTTTAGTATTCTGCACTGACATTACTTTTTCTCCACAAACGCCTGTTTAAGAGTAGAGGAACTTATAGGTTAAAAAGAGATTGGTCATGCTGTTTTTGTGAGAGACTGGTGCACGAAATAGATATAGAAAAACCTGTATTACAGGTCACTAGGCTTCCACTCTGCAGATGAGCAATAAGGTTGTGACACAGGAGAAAAAAGTAGCACCGATTCAAAACACGTCTTTTTCTGACAGGTTCAGTGTTATTCGACATTAATAAATGTAGTTACGCTGTACCTACACGATATCGAAGTCATTATCGGGTAAAACCGATATTCATTAAAATAACTACATTGATAAAGTGTTCAAAATATACATACGAAATTTATGAACCGTAATGGCGTCATGCGCATGCGTCGCAGCGTGTACTTCAACGAGTTTTCTCCGTCTACGTTCAACGAGAATAATTTTAAAAATAAACATCTAATTACCAAAAACAAGAGGCGAATTTTTTATCTCCATCTATACACGGATCGTGATAAGGAAATTATAGTAAGAGAGACAAGGATAGCTATATTATTTGTCACTGCTTCGTTTGAGAAGCACTCAAGGCGAGGAGAGGTGAAGCGGGTAGAGGGAGAGATAAACAGACTGTCAAACCATAACCTTGAAACCGCCCAATGTATAAAAAATCGCCCACTTAATATTGGCAGTTGCAAAATTGAATCTCTAATAACAAAATGTATCAAGAGAATTTTTTTATAAGTTCACAAAGTTAAGTTGGTATTCACGAGACGAGCGTAGAAATAGAGTGGATCAAAAAATATTTTTGTTGAGAACATTAATTATTGTTCAAAATAGTGTTTTACATTTGTGTTTGTGTTTTTTGTTTAATTTACTATGAGTTTTTGTGTATAAATGTTATTTTAGGTAAACATAGCCATTGTCCATTAGAAAAACAAACTTTAGAAATACCACCTACAGGGTCAAGAACACATCAATCTTGATAATTAAGATTTAAATTCAGCTCTGTTGTATGATTTAAGAACTATCAAAAGTGACAAGTTTGACTGTACTAAATTTTCTTGGGTGTAGTTATAATTGTAAGTCAATGGGTGTAGTAGTGAAATGTAAATAACTGCCTAATTATATTTAATTTAAACAAAATTGGTTTTATCTATAGCTACAAATGTTTACTGTTGTTATCTTTTTAATTTTTTTTATAATATCAAGTGATGGGACAAACAAGTCGTGCGCCTGTTGGTAAGCAACACGCTTTAAATCGCAAAGATCTGAGTGACACTGCCACTGCGCCCGTCACCCTGAGTCGATAAGTTGACAAGTCCACTGTGCCTGTAATATCACCAGCACCCTTACCTTTCAAAACCGGAACACAGTAATGCTGAGATTACTGCTTGGCGGCAGAAATAGGTAAGGTGGCAGGACTTCCCTGGACGAACTCTTTCACAAGGCGCGCTACTGCTACTTGTTTCTTGTATCTTTTTCTTCTTGTTTGTTTGTTTGTTTGTGAATTAGTGTAATAACGATTGGAGTCAACTTTTAAAAATATAGTTAAATCATAGTAATTTTGAAAGAGCAGCGGTAACGTACCAAAAGTTGATACTTTTTTAACCGACTTAAAAAAGGAGGAGGTTCTCAATTCAATTCTTTTTTGTGTGTATGTAACGCGATTACTCCGACATTTGCGAACCGATTTCGGTGATTCTCTTTTTTGTTGGAAAGAGGATACCTCGGTAGTATTCACACTTAATTTGAAGAAAATATTCCACATGTAAGGGTGGCGAATTAGGGATGAATCCGGTTTATTGGATTTCGCCCACTTTCCGTCAACCGATTTCAATAAAACTTACATAGATTACAACCAGCAACAGTCCTACTCTCTGAACTAAGAGCAAAGAATGAATCATAAATTCTATTCAATTCCAGCTACGCCGAGCCTCACTCAACTTAACAAACGAAACCAATGAGAAACCTAACAGCACTACTCATTCTATGGACATTTTTCGAAATACGTGCCAGCCCCGAAGAGTGCGACTGCCAAGTTAAACACGATGTGGCTTGGTGCTGCGGGGGTAGGGTGAAGGTCAGTCGGAGCGGGGGGTTTTGGGAGGTCAAATGTCAGGTATGTTTCCAAATACAAATGAAGCTACATTAAGATGCATTCAAATTAGACGTTTATATGTGGAAGCGGTGCAGTGGCGCCACTGGTATCTTTCATGCAATATTTAGAAGCTCATTTGCAGCGCCATGTCGTGTCACTGTTTAACCGACTTCAAAAAAAGAGGAAGTGCTCAATTCGACTGTATTTTTTCTTCTACGGAGATTGCTCTGGCATTTGTGAAACGATTTTGATGATTCTTTTTTTGTAGAAAAGGGGGTGCCTCAGTAGTGGTCGCATTTAAATTTGAACAAAATATTCCACCTCTAAGGGTGGCAAACTGGGGGATGAATCCGGTTTCGCGCACTTTCCTGCAACCGATTATTAACTTTTTAGTTTCAGTTTGTATGTCAAGCAAAGTTTGAAGTAGGTTCCTTTTTTTAATAAAAAATATGTTATGCAGTCACAACTAGTGAACTAGAAATTACTAAAGCACCACAGCGCGGCTGCCGCGTCACTTCACTACACGAGTCGTTATAAGCGACTTAAGGATAAAATAATAACTTAGGCTTCTATTAAACGAACTGCATGCACAAAGTCCGTATAATACAACTCCAAGTAAAGGAAACCGAAACTCAGTGCACAGAGTACATTGAACGTATAAAAGTTGGCGACGAGATGAAAGCACGGACGCTACTTCTGTTACTATTATATTGAAGCCAAAAACGAATGCGTGCAGCAATAATAATAAAGTACGCAAAAAATATATATCCTCGTAATAATGGCAATTACAACTATATTGATTCTCGGACTATCGTTCACATCGACTCTTGAAGTTGAAGGTTACTTATTTGTTCTCTGGTTGAAGTATCAAATGCATGCAGTTGCAAATGCATCAACTCCTTATCAACTTCACGCATCAACTGCAAACATGCAGTCAATCCGTTAGTAGCCTTATTCATCATCATCATCAATCAGCCGGAAGACGTCCACTGCTGAACATAGGCCTCCCCCAAAGATTTCAAGACCAGCCGACCGGATGCGACGTGCATCCATCGGTTACTCGCCGCCCTTATCATGCATTGTAGGAGTGGCGAAAATTAAGAGTCGGACGGGCAGCGTAACGGCTTTTATTTAAATAAGCGCAGACAGAGATAAATATTCCTACACTAAAGACAGAGCACCTCTTATGTAGACAATCAAATCAACACTTTCTCTTAAACTAAACAGTGTTACAATTTTACAATTATTGTAGTTAGTATTATCGTTACAACATTATTATATTTACTATATTCATCGATCAACATTAATTATTAGCAATCATAAATAACGAAACCTAGTCGTCTTTTTTTTAATTTTTTTTTATTAAGGCTTTGGCAAAGCCATCAGCCTAAACATGAAGTTGAATTATGTTTCTGTAAATATGGCCGCCACAAGGAGGATAGGCAATTTGAGGCGGCGTGCTTGGATTGACTCGGGATTCCTTAAAACGGGCCGATGCGGGTATTTTAGTTCGAGATTCGTATAATTTCGCGTTTTAATCTTCGATTAAGGCACAATAGCACTATCCTATTCCACTTTAAACTAGATTTCACAAAATAATTGAAAGTCAAAATAAAAACGAAACTTTTCCCTCCAAAAGGTCCAGAGCGAATCAACCTATATTCGTCGTCACCTATATTATTTACAAAGCAACGCCATCTAGTGGCAGGGTGACGTATTTAATTGCACTGTTTAACAGCCTGCAATAGTTGTAGGGACAGTGTCGGTAGATTGGGTCGCTAACTAGTAGCCTAATAGTTTGAATAGAACTCTCGGTACATATCAGCGATTCTAAGAGTGTGTACAGATCTGGCGAATGCGCCCCATATACGCAAATGCGGAAGGCTCGCGAGCTGGACACGTTCGATCCGTCCGCGAGCCACATACATTAACATGTATTTAATTGCACAAATGCAGTACTTGTACAGCGCGCATGCAGTCAGGAGTTCAGGACAATCTGCATGCTATCAGGCGTGTTTGGACTCATTGAATTGGTTTCCGACGAGTTGTTACACTGTTTTGTATCGGGAGTTTCAAATTTTGATTTAAGTTGTGATATTTGTATACAGAAAGGCGACATATCCTGCGATACGCTCCCACGACTGGAGTTCGGCGCAAACAGCACCATTGACCTGCGTGTCGATCACTGCTCGCTGGCTTCGCTGCAGTGCCTGCCGCAGCGGCTTGCCGCCGCCGATGTACGTCACTTGGAGTTGTACTGCACCCAGGGTGTGAACCTCACGACGGACTTGGTGAAGGAGATGGACTTGGATACTTTTCAGTTTGTTGGTGAAGGTGCGTAGTATTGAAAATTCCTTTGACAAAAATATTATTGTTGAAAAAAATCCATTACTAGGGGCAGTACGGGGAAATCTGAAACCAGAGATGTAAGGAAACTATCTTCGGAACCATTAAGTAATTTTTGTGAAAACAATATTAGCATAGTCAATTTTTGGTCAAGTTGTCCATAAAAATGAATAAAACTGATCACAATTTTTTTTTATGCTAATCGACTCAGTTTCAGGAAGGCATTATTTCATTGTATGGGACAAAAAAAATTGAGACAGCCGAAGTTGGCCAAATTTCGTAAAAAAAATTTTATACAAAATGAATAAAACTGGCTAATTTTGTTTAATGCTGATAGACTCAGATTCTTATAATAATGATTTTATTGTCTTGGAAGAAAATAGTCGGTAATAAATGTTATTTTGTATTAAAAAACTTTTTATTAAATTTGACCAACTTCTGTTGTCCCGAGTCTTTTGTCCCTTACAATGAAATGACCCTTTCTTGAAACAAAGTCGTTTAGCGCTAAAAAAATATTGATTCATTTTATTCATTTTTATGGGCTACTCACGCCTGACCAAAAAATTGTTTTGATGATTGACTTGGCCAAATTTGTTTTCACAAAAAAAGACTTAATGGTTCTAAGACAATTTCCTTGTATCTTCTATAGTTTCGGATTTCCCCATACTGTCCCATTTAAAAAAAAAACACTCGCTGTAAAGAACACATTATAAATATGTTAAGTGTAATAGAAAAAAAAATATTTTTCCTTATCTTTTTTAACGGTAGAAATTACCAGCATAATGTATAATTTGTTTCCAGATGAATCTGTCTCAATGAATTTCCCCCGCGAACCCCTCTCGCAGCATCCCAAACTCTACTCGATAACCTTCAAAGAGGTCACTCTGTCCCTCCACACGGGTGACTTGGACGCCTTCTCAGCCCTCCAATTCCTCATGCTGACTGACACTCACGTGAGGAACATCCCTCTGAAGCTATTCAGGAACGTCAGCAATCTGGAAGAGCTGACGCTGAATAGAAACGAGATCGAAGAGATTCCTGATGATTTGTTTGATGGTAAGTAAACTACAATTCTCCTTTAGAAGTTGCCCCCTCCAAACAAGGTATAATCAGCAGCGAGTTAAACATCGCTGTAATCATGAATCTCTAAAGATTGTACAGGCACGAGGAGACTCCTTTTTCCACTCTCCGTTCTTTGTCCGAAACAATTAGGTAGAATCAAATGAATATTAATCGACCAAATTAAAAGGCGCGCGACTGTGATCTGGCGATCGGTACTATCTCAATTTTGACAACTTAACAGGATGAAGAAAAAACTGTTTGTGTCGTTTATATGTATAGCATCTGGTTTATTAAATAAAAACACGTAATTTTTAGACATTTTTATTACATATGTATATATGCACACTACATATTTTTATTTAATAAACAAGATGCTATATAACTGATTTTTAGCTTCATCCTGTAAAGTTGTCAAAATTGAGATAGTACCGGTTGCCAGTTCACAGTCGCAATGAAGGTTCATACTTGACGTTGTCTGTTAAGGTGGTCGAGTATTACTTATTTAACTGACTTCAAAAAAAGGAGGAGGTTCTCTTTTTTCACATATAATTAGTGAAGATATCAAGTACATTATGTATGTCCCAGGTTTGTCCCACCTGCGCGTCGTACATGTAAGTAGCAACAGGCTGACGTCTCTGGCGTTCCTGACGCGAGTCAATCTCCCGACGCTGACGACGGTCGACGTCGCTGACAACCGGCTGATGGGCTTGCCGAGACTAAGTTCGCTCACCGGTTTGGCGGAGGTGTTTCTCAACACAATTTTCAAAAAACTATAATATTTATATTTATTGAATTTCAATCATTAATATTTTGAGAAGTTACTCTACTAGCTTGTTATAATTATTATTAATCGAATATCAGACAGAACGGAAAATTCCTGTGCCAAAACAGGACCATCGCTCTACCAACAACAAATATACGCGTTTTGGATCCGAAATAATCATAACTTTTTATTAAAAAAAACCGATTTCAAAAATTTGTGGAATTATATCTAATAGCCAAGTTTTATTGAAAACGGTTACAGGAAAGTGCGCGAAACCGAAATCATCCCCTAGTTTTTGAGGTGGTGCTGAGGTACCCTCTTTCCACCAAAAAAAAGAATCATCAAAATCGGTTCACAAAAGCCGGAGTTATCGCGTAAGATACGCACAAAAAAAAGTACAGTCCAATTGGAAATAATCTCAGTACAGAGTACTAAAAAAACCGACCTCAAAAGTACGTGGAATTACATATAATTACCAAGTTTTATTAAAATCGGATTCATCCCCTAATTCGTCACTATACGGAACTTGACACGGGAGATAATAAAAATCGGTTCTCACTACTCAAAGTATAGCGAGAGAGAAAAATTCCTTGAATTGGAGAATAGCAAAATCAACCATTAAAATAATTGCTGCTTATAATAAAATTTAGGCGCTATTTATAAAAATGAATCATCATGCGTGAACAGCCACCCTTAGAGGTGGATGATTTTCTTCAAAATTAAAGGGGACCTGATTTGGAGATACCCTCTTTCCAACAAAAAAAGAATCATGAAAATCGGTCCACAAATACCGGAGTTATCGCGTAACACACATACAAAAAAAAACCAATCGAATTGAGAATCTCCTTCTTTTTTGAAGTCGGTTAAAAAACTACAGTCGAATTAGAACCTCCTCCTGTAAGTTTATAGACTATATATGACTTTTGAGGTCGGTTTTTTAACCGGCGGTTAGTTATTTAAATTTACTGTTGTTTCAAGTCTTAAACATAGAATTAAAGAGGTTGTATATTTATTTAACATTTATGTACTTTGTGACGAAAGTCATTCATCATTAAAACTTATATTTATAAAACAACGGGTTACATTTAAAAATACCAAAACGTTTTCCATAAAGATGGCTGATTGAGTGGTACGCATTACGCGAGACCGCTGAGCGCCACTAAAATAGTAATTTTAATATGGCTGAATACTGGCAACTGTTGCCATTACACTCTGAATTTTTAATCAGACAAAGAAATAAAACGAGTTTTTTTTAAATACTGTTTTATTTTACTTTCAATGTAGTTTTTTCGCAAATGTATTAAAAAACGTCGTTTAATACACTCTGGCTGGAAGCGTCGAGACTCGTGAATAATGACTAGTAACTTGTATCAAAAATAACCATGATTTATTTATTTATGTTACATATACCTATATTTAAGTTACAAAGACCCGTAAATACTTACATTTAATATAATAAAACACTATTTATTTATTTCCGCGTATGGTACCTAATAAACGTAGAAGTAGAGTACACATGAAAATTATAAAATTAGGTAATCAAAACTTTATCCAAATATTAACAGGGTGCAGAAACGACCTTAGAAGGAACTTATGAGAGGCCCCGTAAGGAGTACGAGCTAATGCTTTTAACATTAAATAAAACATAGTAACTGCCCGTTAATCTAAACACATCATTAAATGTATCTCTTGCAGCTACATCTCCACTCTCAAAAGGGCCTCAATCATTCACAACCCTTCGTAGTCTCCCCACTCGCTCTCGCGAACCTCGTCCACCTTACAAAACTATCCCTGCGCGCCTGTCGTCTGTCCGAATTGCCGAACGATATGTTGCACAACTCCTTCGCAATCAAAGACATCGACCTATCGCAAAATGAATTGGAGACTCTTCCTCTCGGACTGTTCAGAGACCTGGTAAGTTAGTGATTGAATGGCGATGCTAAGTATCATGTTACTATCTACGACAGAAGATAAAACAAGATGGAAGATAGTTATATAAAAAAGCGAAACTCTCCCCAAAGAGACTTAATGAAAATAATTTGAATGCTTATGACGTTGTGTTGAATGCTTATAACATTTTTATTACAAAAAAACCTACCTCAAAAGTTTGTAGAATTACATCTTTTTGCCAAGTTTTGTTGAAATCCGTTGGATGAAATCCAATAACCAGAATTCATCCCCTACTTTGCCACCCTTAAAGATAAAATATTGGCTGAGGACCTTTCGAACAAAAAATCATCAAAATCGGTTCACAAATGTCAGATTTTTTTTAAAATTAGATTGACTTGCTCTTGACCACTACCTAGCTCTGGAGCAAAGATAGGATCTACGACGGAACGAGCTTGCCCAGAAGATGCCTGCCTATTCAGTCGCACCTTAAAGATGTATGAATATATGGGTTGTATGAATTCGGAAATACAGACGCAGGGAGGCAGGGAATTCCATTCCTGGGCTGTGCGCATAATAATAAACTATGATGAAAAGCGCTTAGTACGCCTGAAGGGAATACCGACCAAGTAAGGATGATTAGTCGCGTAAACCAAAAAGTCCAGTCGATTTAGAACGTCCTCCGTTTTTTGAAGTCGGTTAAAAACGAAATGATCTTTTGTTTGGTTGGGTTGGTACTAATTAATGGTTGTTGCTTTTGTTTCAGCACAATCTAGAAACCTTAAATCTAGACGAGAACCACTTCGCGTCGCTGCCACCTGACGTTTTTGCAGGTCTTACGGCGCTGAGGACTCTGTCGTTACGACATAACCGCATCGAGGAGTTGTCAAAGTAAGTCGCATGCCCTGTACCAGGGCTTTCATCCCAGAAATCATAATAATAATACCTATATGTATATTTCGTAACCAGGTCGATAGATTGTTAGTGAATTACAAAATTCTCAAGTCTAAATGTTAGTTACACAATACAAACACAACAACACATAATTGTAACTTTTTTATACATATAACAAAAAACGGACCTCAAAAGTTCGTGGGGTTACATTTATTTGCGAAGCTTTATCGAAATCCCTTAATTAAGAACGAACACCCTTCGAGGTAGATATTTTCTTCAAATTTAAGCGGAACCAATACTGAAGTAACCTCTTTCCAACAAAAAACAATCATCAAAATCGGTTCACAAAGGACGAATGTTCACTCCTATTTTGAGGTCGGTTAAAAACTAGGCAACTCGCACACACAATACCCACCTTGCAACCCTGTGGATTCTCACTACTAAGGATCGATTCGATTAAACGATCTAACGAATTTTTGTATCGATTTATTTCAATGCAATTTCAAAGCGAATCGATTCAACAGAAAGACAAACCGAATCGTCTGAATCAGAACACAATAAATATTTTGAAATAATATCATTCAATTTGAACAAACCTCGATTTACAACACGTATTTAGTTGTAAATAGATTTTGTCCTTGACTTTGGGCGTTAATGGGTTTTAACTCAATTTAAACCCGACGTTAACATAGCACCGGGTTTAAATCCGAGTTACTCTGGATATACAATACATTGGTTTCCTTTACGTTAAAGCACGAGATATTTAGTGAAGATCAAAAATTATATATTTCCAGAGGAATCATATCCACCTTAACCTCCCTTCACGCACTCCACCTGTCCCACAACGCAATCCACAAGATGGCGTCGATGTCACTCCCTGACAGTCTCCAAGTGCTGGACTTGGACCACAATCAACTCAACTTAGACGACTCCAGCGCTTCAGTAAGTGTTGTGGTGTCTGTGATTTCTACGTTTCTACATTCGAATCTCCCGCGAAAGGAGTAAACCTATCACCATGCACCTTCTGGACGCCTGGTATTACGAGATTATAGATAGAGACACAAAGATGGATGGTAAATACGTTAATTATTATTAACCCACGTCAAAAAATAGAGGAGTTTCTTAATTCGATTGTAATTTTTTGTATGTCACACGATTAGTATGATATTTGTGAAACTATTTCAGTATATGTATTACTTTAAGGGTGGCAAATTAGGGAATGAGTCTAATTTACTAAATTTCATCCAATTTATCACTTTAATAAATTTAAAAAAACTTTGCACATAGATGTAATTCTGATCTGATGATGGAAATGGCAGACGAATGAGAGAAACTCCTTAACAGTATACTGCAGCTACCTTGTGTCTGGGCTCTCATGATTAGTTTAGACGAAGACATCCTTATGCGTGGGTTACCTTAGTAGTGGTCCCATTCAAATTTGAAAAGAATATTCCACCTCCAAGGGTGGGGGATGAATCCTGTTGTATTTGTACTTCACCCTTTTCCGTTAATGATTTTTTCAAAGCATCGATAGGCGTGTGCCTATCGATCACAATTGCAGTGCCACTCAGAGCCTTAAATCGCCGGAACGCAGTAATAGCTCGCATTACTGCTTGGTGGCATAAATAGGTAAGGCGGCAGTACTTCCCTGGACGAACTCTTTCACAAGGAGCTCTACTGCTACTAAGATTTTAATAAAACTTGGCAAATAGATTTAATTCCGCAGACTTTTGAGGTCGGTTTTTTCATAAAAAAAAGTTTAATTATACACTATCTGTTACGCAGGACGATAGCACTATAAATAACTACACTACGCTCAAGGGCCTCCTATCTCTCCGGGAACTATCAATCTCGCACAATCGCCTCACTAGAATCCCTCCGGACCTCTCTAACCTGAAGAAATTGAGAGCGGCTAATTTGTCGCACAATCATATCACGGCGATATGGGACGGCGGTGACACTCGTGCGGGGATTCGATGGTGGAATGGGTCGGAAAAGGTAAAAGAATCAAAATTATTTCCGGTGTTCAAACACCCCACGTACTGCTGCTTTACAGTACGTACTGAGAATTGGGTAGTGCGAGTGATAACCCTGCAATTTAATCTTGCAATCGTTATTTCAGATCACGAACCTCCACCTCCTCAGTACCCACATCACCATAGACTTACGACACAACCAAATTTCCACTATAGATATTAAGAACCCCACCGAAGACGACACTGATCATACTATAAACAGAGTTATCCTTCTTGATAACAACCCTTTGAATTGTGATTGTAAACTTTACAATCTCGCTAAGAACCTACAAGGACATAGAACCGAGACTGCAATTTACAAACTTGGTGATTCCGAATGCGCCTCGCCAGAAAGCTTTAAAGGAGAACTAGTCAAAACTTTACCTTTAAAAAATTTTATTTGTCAAATAGCCGAGAAATACAACTGCTCCAACAACTGTGAATGCCAATATAGACCTTACACTAACGCAATAGAACTCAACTGTATTGCTGAGCCAGATATATACCCCGATTTAATACCAAACGCAATGTACGAAATCAGTTTTCGTCAAGTTTCGAAATCACTTGCTTTGAATACACCGGGTGTCCGTAAAGTGAATCTTTCCGGGCTCGCAATGCATGAGATACCGATTGTTATCCCGAACACGGTCGAAGAATTGGACTTGAGTAACAACAGTTTGAGCAGAATACCAGCGGAACTGCTGGAGAAGAATGTCATTTTAAGTCTTGCCGGGAACCCGTTTGAATGCGACTGCTGGCACAAAGATGATATTCGTAATCTTCAGGTAAGGTAATTTAGTAGTAATGGTTAAAAATTGGTTTTAAAGGGACTTAAAACCGGGACTTTCGACCTCATAACATCTGAGCGAGGTCACATTTCTTGGTTCTTGAAATTTCTCTATAAGAATGAACGGCTTTCTCGACGACATAACGCCAATTTGACATCACCAATACGGGGTTAACAAACTGCTTTTAATTTTCAGAACCACTCCTCCAAAATCAGAGACTGGGAAGTCACAACTTGTTCAGATAAAATACCAATCCGAACAGTAAATCCTGAACAACTGTGCAGCACGTTGCTGGCCGCAGCCGTCGGCGGGACCTTTGCGCTGATCGGTGTGCTCATCGCAGCGACGACTGCGGTACTTTACTTATGTTCTTTTGAAGTGAAGGTATTTCTATACAATAGAAGTTTATGTTCCTGTCTCGTCAACGAACAAGAATTAGACAAAGACAAAAAATACGACGCGTTCATATCTTTTTGCCAAAAGGATGAAGAGTTCGTCTTAGAAAACTTGGTTCCCGGGTTGGAAACCGAACCGTACAATTACAAAATCTGCGTCCATGTTAGAGATTGGAACCCGGGGGAATGGATACCGGCACAGATAGCGACATCTGTCGAGTCTTCTAGAAGAACAATTATAGTTGTTTCAAAGAACTTTCTGGATTCTATCTGGAGTCGATTGGAGTTTCGTGCGGCGAATATGCACGCCGTTCATGAACGCCGCAGTCGAGTTATTGTCGTATTATTGGAAGACATAGCCATTCATGAGGAATTAGATCCGGAATTAAGGGCATACTTGTCGACGAACACGTATCTCAAATGGGGTGATCCGTGGTTTTGGCCAAAGTTGCGTTACGCCATGCCACATAAGGGTGTGAGAGATAGAGAGGCGAGGATGGCAGAAGCGAAGGCGCGCCAAGAGGGACAACGATTGGCGAAGCATTTGGCCACTATCGACTTGCAACTTGCTGAACGGAAGCTATAAATACCAAATGATTGGGAGAAGAGTCTTCTTCAATTTATTGATAATAACTTTTTTATAAAAAGAAACAAAGTAAATTAGTAAATTACACTTCAAAGCACAATAAAAACATCTACGTTAATATTTCCTTCTTGATCACAAGTTCACAACATCTTATTACTAGTGTTATTATTATTATTATTATTCCAATCAGGGTGGCCTGAGCACACAGGTGGTTCTTTAGAAATACAATCCATGGTGGATACTCACTACATTTTAGGAGAAATTGAAAACAAAATGTAGCACGAAATATATGTACTTAATCATTCTACCAACTATCGATATGGAGTAAACGGCAATATTGTGGAGTTGTCTTGTGTCCGGCGACTCGTTCCCGAATTTTTATCGGTAGTTATACAGCAGCCCAATTTATAGAGCGACACGAACATCCCCACAAGTCTGCCCACGTGCAGTCAGCCTATTAAGCAAACACGTGTTATGAAAGCATAGATGCATCAAAGACAGTTAACAAACTCGTCTGTGCGCACAAGCACGTGTTCTTATTCACTAAACAAATTAATTAGCCAATTAAAATTATTGAAAATCAGAGATCATCGTAGGCATGAATCGTAGACGCAATGTATGATGAGATTCAGCATGGGTACCGGCGCAACTAGTCATTCTGGGGGACTTTAATGCACACCATCAAGAATGGTTGTTCCCATTATTTATTTATTTTATTTTCTGTTCCGGGACGCATACGTCCGTCACTCTCACTCACTCGGCTAGGGCCCATTGAAAACCAGCGTCACAACCTAGCCTTGGTTGTGACTTTAGCTGAATGGGATCCTTTGGTACACGCCACAGCCGCACACATGTCAGTATAGTATTATGTAACTTGTTGTTGAAATGTTTTTACGCTGCTCTTTGTGTTATTTCTGTTTCAGTTATTTTAGTCTTTTTTGTTTTTTTTTATAATGTGGCGTTACAATAAATGATTTCTATTTCTATTTGAAACAAACTTCAAAACTTTGAGACGCAGATGAAAGTCTCATTAAAACGAATCCTAGATGAGCCCAAACAAAGTAGAAGCTGCTGTACACTGTTGAGTAGTTCCTCTCATCTGCCTGCCATTTCCATCATCAGATCAGATCTACGTCACCATGTCGTTTAATTTTTATTAGAATTACATCTATTTGCGAAGTTTTATTGAAATCAGTTAACGGAAAGTGGATTTACTATCGTTAGAGGCAGAATATTTTCTTCAAATTTGAATAAGGTACTGAGGTACCCTTCTTGTGTTGTTTCCAACAAAAAGAATCATCGAAATCGGTTAATAAATGTTGGAGTAACCGCGTAACAAACACACAAAAAAATACTGTCGAATTGAGATCCTCCTCCTTTTCCTGAAGTCGGTTTAAAACGTTACACCATTGGGCATTTTATGAATATATTTGCATACCTACTTTGGCCTTGGTAGTCCAACGGTTAGCACTGCGACATTTGACGAAGAGATCCCGGGTTCGACTCCGGGTAGGACCAATAAGGGAACGGACGGAGGGTGCCGCCGCCATCTTGAGGGATTTTGGACAATTAACTTCATATGACTACTCGCACGTCTGTGTCAGAACTCCACTTCAGCGCAATCCAGGGCCAACAATGACCACGTGTTGTGCATTGGGTGACCACTCTCTTTTCAACGTTTATATAAGAACCCTGTCAGCCTCCAACTATTCACAAAGGCGTTTCTGAGTCCGAACACGCAGCTATGAAAAAAAAGAAAAACAATATCTCATTATATTATTTATTTAAGGTATTAATTACAATGCCACATTAAATGCTTTACAACATTTTGCGCAACATATTATTACGCCCGTCTCCCACTGAGGTAATCTGAAACTACGGACCGTACCATACACTACTTCTCCACTCCACTCGCCTCAATCTTCTCACACGACCATTTGACTAACATCATAAACAACTAAATTTTTGTTCCACGACTTTTTACAAAACATAATACATTTACTAAAAATAAACTTTCAAGTTTTTCTTGTACTCTCTGACACTTTTTAACCGACTTCAAAATAATATAATATAATAAAAAATATAAATAAAATAAAATATAATAATTCCACGAACTTTTGAAGTCGGTTTTTTTAAAATTTTATTTTACCTTCGGTTTTTTTTAAATATTAATATTTTAGTACTGATCGATACTAAAAGGCAAACTACACCTATTTTATTTTAATTATTAAACAAAGATCGAACATTTACGAAAAATTCATTCCAATCCAGTTGGATTCGAACCAACGTCTCCCAGCACACCGTGTCAGACGCTATGCCAACTAAGCCACGGAACAAACCAACGGGGCTCGCGAAACTTTCCATGTATTTGTTGCAGAACTATAATATCTATCTCTAATAATTATAACAAACCAGTAGAGCAATTTCCCAAAAAATAATTGAATATATCATGTTGGTCAAACATCCTGATATACAATAAAAAACTATTTTATTTCTTCACCAAAGACCGTAATGTTAAAATTTCGATGGTGACAAAAACGTCATCCAGTACGTATTAAATAACAACATCACTGACTACAAGTCAAGTCAAGGCTAACATATCAACTATTACTTAAACACTCTTTTTAGAGACCATTGACCCCCCCTACCAGGAGGGGAACCGTATCGAGCTGTGGGACGTATAATATGATGATGATAACTAATGTCATTATTGACGCTAGCTCTGTTCGTAGTTCTCCGTTTTCATGTCGTTGAGTCCGAGTTCTTCGTTTTGCTCGAACGATCGCTCGTAGCGTGTCACCTTCAGACCTGCAAACGAGAATCGTGCTACCAACCATACTGGTCTCTATTCTTACTATAATTCAAATTCTAATACATCTTTATTTCATAGGTAAGCAAATTACACTTGAAATCGTCATAATGATTAAACTCTACTGCCTATTCGACGAATGAGCAAGAAACTTTAAGGGTTGCTCTTTATAAATATACATTTGAATACATTTAGCATTACAATATTTATTTTAAACTCAGATTACAAAACAATAGGCCGATGGAGCGCGCCGAACACGAAAGTGAAGACACCGAAGCAAATACAAATTCAAAAGCAAATACAATCTCGCGTGAGTTTAAGCACAGCGTCGCTCTGTTTGCACTGTGTTTTGAGTGATTAGTTATTTTATGTTTAAAAATCAAAGTTTTTTAATTTTAAAATATTTGTTTACCTTTGTGTGATGTAAATCAAAAAATAAAATATTAACTTATATTGTATATAATTTGTTTGATATCCTAATACCACTAAAATACCTATATCAAAATAATCTCAGTACAGAGTACTAAAAAAACCGACCTCAAAAGTACGCGGAATTACGTCTATTTGCTAAGTTTTATTGAAATATCCCCTAGTTCGCCACTATACAGGACTTGATACTGGAGATAATGAAAATAGGTTCTCACTACTCAAAGTATATTGAGAGGAAAACGCTTTGAATTGGAGAAATAGCAAAATCAACCATTAAAGTAATTGCTCCTCAATTAAAGTTAGGCGCTATTTATAAAAATGAATCTTCATGCGAGAACAGCCACCCTTCGAGGTGGATGATTTTCTTCAAATTGAAATGGGACCACTGTGGATGTACCCCCTTTCCAACAAAAAAAGAATCATGACATACATACAAAAAAAAGAACATACAGTCGAATTGAGAACCTCCTCCTTTTTTGAAGTCGGTTAATAACATTTCCAGTTTGTAACATTAGTATTATAGAAAGCAACAGAAAAAAAATGCTGGAGTTTTTTCGTTGCATCTGGCAATTTTACACGCACACAAATGCGCATGTCCCTACACAGTGTCTCTCCTAGTGGTCACGCGCACAATAAATGAAAAGCGGCTCCACACCGTTGGTTGCGTAAGCTCCATCTGCCCATTGTTTTGTAATCTGAGATTTTAAACAAGCAAGAGCTAATCGGGTCATAAGCCGTTATCAACTTCATGCAGTCGTGTTCTCGACAGCACGCAGTCGATTACGAGTTCACTTTGAAGACTTCGTTTTAGACTTCAGTGGATTCCACAGACCACCATCCCGTATAGGTGTGAATGGTAATGAGGAATTAACCGTTTGGCGAAATTAGCTACATTTCAAAGCCAGGAGTATACCATACTGCCCTTTTTTCACGAGATCCTACCTAAATATTTAAAAAAAACTAATTACTGACAGCTGGAAAGAATTCTTTGATGTAAGGTCAAGAGCGAAAGGCATTTAGTAAAGAACATCACAATGTGAGCCACACCACATACCGTGTTTTTTTACTTCTGAATTTTGCAGGCTAGATGATGTTACAATGTTTAGGCTACGTTCTGGCCATTATCCATCGAACAAGTTTGGATATCTTATGAATCAAAATGAATTGAATTCACCATATTGTAATAAAATTGAAGACGTCCAACACCTTGTTGCCGGAATGTACCAAGACCGAAGGCCAGCGGCAACTACTGATGTTTCTATTACAATGAAACCTCTCCAACGTCAACTTCTACCAAGGGATTTTATCTGAACCCTTGACAAGATATACAAAAATGTTGTAACATGGAAAATCGGCGATAGTTAACATAATATGGCATTCATATATTACCAAATGCCCATAATGGAGCATTTGATTCGACTGCATGAAGGAAAAGTATGGAATTTGTTTACTTATTATATTTAATTATTATTTGATCTTATTTTTAACCGATTTCAAAAAAGGAGGAGGTTCTCAATTCGACTGTATGTTTTTTTTGTATGTTAGGCGATAACTCCGGTATTTGTGAACCGATTTTCATGATTCTTTTTTTGTTGGAAAGGGGGTACTTCCATAGCGGTCCCATTTCATTTTGAAGAAAATCATCCACCTCTAAGGGTGCTGTTCACGCATGAAAATTCATTTTTATAAATAGCGCGAAAATTTTATTATAAGGAGCAATTATTTTAATGGTTGATATTGCTATTCTCCAATTCATGGCGTTTTTCCCTGTCAATATACTTTGAGTAGTGAGAACCCATTTTTATTATCTCCTGTGTCAAGTCCCGTATAGTGGCGAACTAGAGGATGAATCGGGGTTTGCGCACTTTCTGGTAACCGATTTCAATAAAACTTGGTAATTATATGTAATTCCACGTACTTTAGAGATCGGGTTTTTTTTTAGTACTCTGTACTGAGATTATATAATTTAAGAATATGGATCATAGACATCTGAAATAAATTATTTACCATTATATTATATAATATAATACTTTTAATGCAATAATAATATTAAAAATCATTTTTACTGTAAATTGCCTGACAATTAGAATAAGGTTATGATAGGACCGCCGTAGGGTTGCCAGCTTATCGGTATTCTACAGGATATATCACGGAGAGTGTGCAATGGAATTGCATGATTTGATTCCGCCCTCCCCTTTTCATCATAGGTGGATTAGATGTGGGCTGGGGTTCCTCCTTTATGTTGTGGATATTCCCCGGATTCGCACCAAGCGTTTCGCTTCTACATTTGTATGGCGAGCGGCTAGGAAGTGAAATTCCCTGCCTGCGGACTTGTTCGCCGAACGTTATAATTTTGACCTTTTCAAGGCGAGAGTGAATAGGCATTATTTAGGCTACATCGTCGACCTCATCTCACTTTCCATCAGGTGAGATGGAGGTCAAATGTTCACTTATTTTTTTATTAAAGAAAAATGTTCTCTAGAACAAGTCTTAAAATTAATTGAAAATTAAAAAAAAAGTGTAAATTGCTTAGCTACGAAATAAAGATGTTCTGAATTTATGAACTTCACGCATTAACTGCATGCAGAATCTCTGCTGCATGAAGTCGGTTTCGATTTCGCAAGCAGTTTTTTTTATACAACTAAGTGACGGGACGAACAATTAAGTCGTGCGCCTGGTGGTAAGCGACACGCCTGTCCATAACAGTTGCAGAATTACACATCACTCAGAGCTTGAAACACAATGATCCGAGGGGCACTGCCACCCTGAGACGTAAGTTGACAAGTCCCACGTGCCTGTATTTTAACCAGCACTCTTAGTCTTCAAAACCGGAACGCAGTAATATTCACATTACTGCTTGGCGGCAGAAATGGGTAAGGTGGCAGTACGTCCTTGGACGAGCTCTTTCACAAGGAGCTCTACTACTTAGTTAATGCGTGAAGTCGTTAACATCTTCATGCAGTCAATGTGTTAGCAGTCTAAATGTGAACCCTCCCCGTAGAGGAGCCACGCAGACAGGAAAGGCACCCACCGTCGTCGGGCTGGTCGGGATCGTCGCTGAAGCTCTGCACGAAGGAGTTCCCCGCGGGGTCGTCCAGAACGATGGTCACCGCGCGCTTGCACTCCAGCACCTCGTTCAGCTTCGCGATGAACCTGCAGCGCAAAGCGAGGGACTCGGCTAATGATCTACATTCGAATTCCATTCAAACTCCACTGAGATTGCGTTCGTCGGCTAAATTTCAAAACCTCTTGTAACTCCGTTGCTGGCTTTTTTACTCTTCAAGCGAAATATCGGACAATTAAAGCTTAAAGTATAATTTCTAATCACATAATTGTAATTTAAATTAGTATTTAATTGATATTCAATTATTTTTTGTGAAATAGAAGTACTTCGTCACCCAGTTAGATATCTCAAGCCAGGACTGGTAGCTGTAAAGTTGCCTAACTGGATAACGAAATACTTTCATAGGTTTCTCATAGATGGCGCTACGGCTAAAACGTCGTTGAAAACCAAGTATAAGGATCCGACAAACAAGCACAAAGAAAAATTCATGAGGTCCGTTGGTTCGTTCCGTGGCTTAGTTGATAAGAGATGTCGGTTCGGATCCGGATCCGGATCGCAGGAACTTTTTCTGAGTGTTCGATATTTGTATTAATAATTATAATTTATTTCTAAAAAAGAACCGACTTCAAATGTTCGTGCAATTACATCTATTTGCCAAGTTTTATAATCGCTTACCGTTTGCCACTCTTAGAGACAGAATATTTTTTTCAAATTTAAAAGGGACCTATACTGAGGTATCCTCTTTCCAACAAAAAAAGAATTATCGAAATCGGTTCACAAACGGCGGAATGAGAACCTCTTCCTTTTTTTGAAGTCGGTTAAAAATAAAAGTTTAATCATAGATTGTTATTTAATTATTTCTAGTAATTCTGTTTTGTGTGCCTACTGTGGACTTTTGCCACATTATTGGGGTTACGAGGTTCCGAATTTAGCCGACGACGTGTCAATATTTGTCACTGGTTAAGTTTAGAACTAGTGGGTTCGTAAGTGCCACTCACTGGGCCATGCCGTCTCTGCTGAGCGAGGGCGCGTCCCCCAGGGCGCCCGGCGCGTCGGCCAGCTGCGCGGCCGTGGCCCCGAGCAGCCCCTCGGCCGTGGTGAAGCGGCCGCCCAGCGCGCGCCCGCCCACCTGCAGCTGCAGCTCCGGGATCTCCATGCTGCACGTCTCCGACTGCCGCGACAAGCGCGCGTATTAGGCGAGCCCGAATACATCACATTGAGCATCATTAAGCTGAATCAGATTACGCTGGTTAGAAAAAGATTTGTCTATGTAATATGGACTGAAGCCGATTACGCGTCACTATAGTCTGCCTTTTTTGTAGACGGAGTAAATTGACAGTTCATTGAGCAAAAAAGTTTCCCACTTGCGCGATTGTAGTCGATAAATATTCTATCGGCTATCGACTGAATATTGGTCATGCTTCTGCAATAAATAGGCGATATTGTGTCTCCCCGACCCATTTTATTTTATATAAACTTACAAGTTTATACTCACTGATAGAAATAGAACGCATACTTCCGGATATGGCGGATAAAAGATATTTATACCGTTACACGCGGTTAGGTTCCAGAGCAAAGAATCAAATATGAGATGACTTAAATGTGGAAAATATAAAAGAGTGATCAACGGCCTGCGAAAACTATAACATATGGAGGAGATATTAGTGCACTTTTATGAGGTACACCCTGGGCAATTTCCGCCGGTTGTAAAAAATGTTCGAAATTCAAATAAACAAGATGGCCGCCTTACAAATTTCAAGGTCTTCTATAACAAAAACTATTAGAGATAGGTAGGAGGTACTGGAAGGAATGTCATAGAGGGTAACAGTGGTCAACTGCCTGTGTAAAAAAATTCAAGATCAGAAACTTACTTCGATCCGGCTGAAAATTGGCATGCGGGGTCTTTGCGGGGTCTTTAGGAGTCCCTAATCATAATTTGGGGTCAAAAGATTTTTCGCCATTTTGTAGTATAGCTGCCATATAAGCGTTTATTTTCGTTAAAAATGGCTGCCGAAAGAAACTTGCTTTGTTTGGTGGATCGTCAGCATCCACCACCTTCTTTTGCGCCATTTTTTTAAGAGCTTTGACGTTTGCTCCATCCAAATTTGTGAAACAAATATATGCCTGAAGTTCGCGTGACATGCGACAGGAGATGTTGAATTTTGCGCATTAAAAGTACCAAATTCGTTTTAGCGGAATAACTCTAAAACTAAAGGGATTAAAAAAAATCCGTACTGACAGTTCTCGATCATGCATAAATATAACTAATTATCTAATTTTTGTCCTAATAACCTGTAGCATTTCGAGGATAAATCGAAAAAATGTGAAAAGAGGTAATTTCGTGATTTTTATCTATCGAGGAAACTTTGTTTTATGTTTCTGATTAGTGTCTATGCTTGAATATATCGCGTAGTTACTCATACAATATTTTATTTTTAACTTTAAAGTGGATATACCCCTCTAAAATCAAATCGAAGATTAGGAATTTTTCCTCTGCTCCCTCTTGATAACTTGGTTCTGGTGCACACGTATATAATATTTGTATGTAGTAAATAAATAAATTGCCGCCGCTGCAATTGACTCCACGTCCATCTTCGCGCTCGACAATCCGACGAATGAACACAGCCGTCGTGTGGAGGACGCCACGACAATGGCGGCCACTACGTGCCATCGCATCTCTATGGATCCAATCGTGTAGAGGGGCATGACACTATATTACACACTAGGTGTGCTGCTGAAGGTGCCTTCATGAGGTAAGTCCTGGCCCCTCCAAGGTATTCCGCGACGCGGTCGGCCGGGGTCAGGGAGTCAGGTTTAAGAATTGACGAATTATACGCGCCATATCGAGCAGCACCTTTCTGTATTTCTGTTGCAAGCGACACGCCGCAGAATTACAACTGTATCAACTTGTACAGCGGGTCACAAAAAGTACGACAGACCAGAAGTTTGGTCTTCCCGGTCTTCTTCGACATTCGATCGAAATTGTTATATGACGAAGTCGATCTCACCTTGAGAATATCTCTGGAGAAGTCTTCTTTCCCCGCGACCCTCACTTCGTACCGCACGCCCTTGTCCTCAATGCCTCCACCTGATTTCACCTGTAAGACAATACAATGCAACTCAATTCATAATAACCATAAATAAAATGTCACTACCTACGGCAATATTTATTTTATTGAATATACATTGTGAACTGGCAATCGGAAAAAAAATTGTGAATATCTATGTACACAAAGTATTTTTATTTAATAAACCAAATGCTAATAAATGACGCAAACAATTCTTTTCTTCATACTGTAAAGTTGTCAAAATTAAGATAGTTAATTGTATTAACACGAGTCAAGCTATTCCCGTTCGCGCCGAGGCTTATGTATTGCTTTTCTCAATCAATGTGACGTCAATAGTTCATGGACATCTATTTGCCAAGTTTACTTAAAATCGATTACCGGAAAGTGCGCGAAACCAGATTCATCCCCTAGTTCGCCGCCCTTCGAGGTGGAATATTTTCTTCTTAAAATTGGACCAACACTGAGGTACCCTCTTTCTAACAAAAAAGAATCATCGAAATCGGTTCACAAAAGCCAAATTGAGAACCTTTTTGAAGTGATCAAAAAGAGAAAAGAAATGCTTGATAATGATGTGGGTTGGTATCGCTTCCAGTGGCAGTTTACCTCGTTGGTGCGGTGCCCGCAAGCGTCGCAGATGGTTGCCATTATCACCACTTCTTTGAAATGAGGAATTTCTGCAAAGAGAATTTTACGAACGTGTCAAATGCCATCATTTCACGCCATGGGGTGACTGCACTGCAAATGCCAATAATACAATTTGATATGACCAGTACATATAAGAGCCATGAGTGGTATAGAAAGTGTAAATTAGGGACGCTTTTTTGTTATTTATATATTATTAATATTCATAATTTAAACAGCAAACGGTCTCTTTCTGAACCCCTATTTGACAACGGCCTGCATGGAAAGCAGTTTGGCAACATCTAAGTACAGGTAAACGTGCATGTGATAAAGTCCACAATATTTGGCGATTTTGTTACTTCTGTGCCATCTGAGCGTCTTTTCTCAATGGCTATCACTCTAAATGAAAGTCGTAACAGGTCATACTCACTGGTGAGCTTCATATTGGTGTCCGCAGGGGCGTTGCAGTCGGGGCAATTGGTGCGGAACTGCAGCACTTCGTCGGAGACCATCGCCTCGAAACTATGCTCGGCAGTGGACGGTGACACCAGAGAGGTCGGAGGCGGAGGGGCGGGATATTCTTGCACCTACATAATTATAACTTTAAAAAAATCTTTTTTTGCTGTGTCCGTTACCGCGGTCTCCTCAACGATAACTGAAAAGCATGTGGGAGTCCTCGTCAAAACGAATCATATGAGCACAAACATAATATAGCTGCTGTACACTGTGAGGAGTTCCTCTCGTCTGTCTGCCATTTCCTCATCACATCAGCTTTAGGCCACCATGACATTTCATTTTTATGTAATTCCAACATCTATTTGCCAAGTTTTATTGAAATCAGTTAACGGAAACTGAGTGAAATTCAATAAACCGGATTCATACCCTAATTTGCCACCCTTAGACGTACAATATTATCTTCAAATTTGAATGGGATCACTACTGAGATACCTACCCCCTTTCCAACAAAATCATCATCCTCAAGAATCATAGACCAATCAAAGACCAAACTTTTATATCATAACATAGCCACAGACGGCTTAATAGTTACCATAGCCTTCATATAGTTCCCTAAAAATCCGCTAATAATAAATTTCTGCACAAGCGGTGTTAAGATTTTCCCTCGAATAGTGAGTGCGTACAGCTGCTGCAGGACTGACCTCGTCGTGCGAGAAGATGCCGAGCGCGTGGTTCTGCTCCGCGGTGCGCGCGAAGTCGGTGCGCGTGCAGCGGGGGTCGCGGCGGGGGGCGGACGGGTTCTCGATGAAGCAGTTGCCTATGCGCAGTCAATTGCTCACATGGCAATCGATTACTGCACGTTTACATGCAGTAATCGATTTTAAACGGATAAACAGCGGGTACTCACACGAAACGTTTTCATTCGTCTAAAAAACGAATATTCACAGTATTCATAGGGGGCCTACCACAACCTCTTAAAACAATATTACTTTAACCTTACATTGACTTTTCGTACCATGACGCGCTTTAAGTAAGCTTATTATAATGTTAAAACTATGTTGTTTTATTGGCAGCTTTGTGACTATTCATTCACTCAGTTCGTACTACGACGCGACTTAACATTAAAGTAATATTGTTCTTAATAGTTACTCGGACGCAGTGGAAACAATATTATTTTCGAATTTATTGTCTAAATGTTGATTTGTATTTGATTATTTACATAATATATCTCTTCAATAATTTGTTTTTTTTTATTTAATAGTACATAGGAAATAATTACTCGCTAAATAAAAATACGCGATTTTTATTTCGTAAAATTATGACAGCGCCGTCTATACGCTCCTTGGCAACACAAACAGTTGACACTACACTAGACTGTAATTATTCCGAATTCACAACGTGACTATCAAGGCTAGGCTTGTTTTATTTAGTTTTCTTCATGACAATGCGGAAAAATAATTGAAGACAACGTAATTTTAATAGATTTCATTATTACATACTTTTCTTTTTGTGGCAGTTCAAATTCTCGGAATGTAAATAATATTAAGTACTTTAACAATATGCTTTGATAAGACGATTCGGAACATCAATAACCTCAGTACACAGTACTAAAAAAACGATCTCAACAATACGTGGAATTACATCTATTTGCCAAATTTTATTGAAATATCCCCTAGTTCGCCCTAAAGACTAATGAGGTACCCTCTATCCAACAAAAAAAGCATCATGAAAATCGGTTCACAAATACCTAACATAAATACAAAAATAAAAAATGCAGTCGAATTAAGAACCTCCTCCTTTTTTGATGTCGGTTAAAAAAGAAAGAGATGGCATTATACAGTTCACATAGCGTTATTAAATAAAAAAATTAAAAAAAATCTTTTTCACCTCAGCAGCTCGAACAAGGCTATTTTGCTGTGTGAAATCAGTGAGCAAAATCTTATTTTGCTCACTCCGTGAGAAAAAGTAGCTTTTTGCTTTTTAAGTGGAGACTTGTCATTTAATGCGAAGGGGTCTAATACAAATTCGACATATTTCAAAATCAGTCGCTCCGTCCCTTTCACTTCATTACAAGAAAAAGGAAAAAGAAAATTATGGTTTATTCGTACTTCGATATTTAAGCTACATAGTAGACCCCCACAAAATGGCTGAACGAGTGCACGTTCGGAAACTCGTCAATTCATCTAAAAGATAAATTATGTGAGAAATACAAATACGATTTTATACTATGATAATTTAGTTTTTACAATTTTCATTAAAAATAAAGCAAGTGTTGCAATAAAAATATGCTAAATTTATAACGTCAATTAAAGATAACAATATTTACAATGTGTGATTTCAATGAATACAAGCGAGAACGTTCCGGAACGCAATAAATAAAAGCGCGCTTTCTTTTTTTTTAATTCAAAATTTTTTATTTGCTTGCGATAGGTACTTCTTTGATAGTTAATTGGATACCTACCTACGTAATAAAATAGAAAATATGAGCGATTCCAGTGAAGACGACAATTTTTTAACTCCTCCAGAGTTAGTTGAAACTGTTAAAAATGCTGAACTAAGTTTCTTGCCTAGTAAATCTCGTGAAAAGTACCTGAAAGTCTACGAACATTTTGACAAATGGAGGCACGAAAAGGGCGCAGGAAACACTATGTCGGAAACTGTGCTTCTGTCTTATTTCATTGAAATGTCGCATACAAAACAGCCGTCAACGATGTGGAGTATATATTCGATGTTGAAAGCTACATTACAAACTAAAAATAACGTCCATATAAACACTTACGCAAAGCTGATTGCGTTTTTGAAAAGATCGGCCGTCGGCCACAAATCAAAAAAATCGAAAGTTTTCACGGCTGCTAATATTGAAAAATTTCTTAATGAAGCTCCAGATTGCACTTTCCTAGCCGCAAAAGTAAGTATTGAATATTATTACTGTTGTCGTAGCGTTATATTTTAATTGTTAATACAATTTGGACTTTGGTAGTTATGTTATCAATTTCTATCAACATAATTATACTTACCTACTTAAATGTGTTGTTTTGGCGACTTGTATTGGAACTTTATGGTTAAAAATAACGCTACATATTATGAGAAATCCACGTTTAAGACTGCTCTAAAAGACACAATACTTATTGACGTTTTATTTATGTTTCAGGTCATCCTTATCATTGGAATAAACGGAGCATGCCGCTCCAACGAGTTATTGAATCTAACTCCTAATGCCATTGAACAACATTCCAGCGACCTTCTTTTGATTAACCTGCCAAATACGAAAACAAATATAGACAGGTCGTTCGTCGTCCGTGAGGAATACGCACACGTTGTCCAGAAATATAAAGCATTGCGCCCTCCCAATACGATCACAGACCGCTTTTTCATACAATATCGTAATGGAAAATGTACGCGGCAACCGATGGGTATTAATAAAATAGGAGCGACTGCACGAGAAATCGCAACATTTTTAGATTTGAAAGAGCCGCAGCTATACACTGGCCACTGCTTCAGGCGAACATCAGCCACTCTTTTGGCAGATGGAGGAGCTGACCTCACAACGTTGAAGCGCCATGGCGGTTGGAGATCAAATACAGTGGCTGAAGGATATATCGAAGATTCAATAGAAAATAAATCAAAAATCTGTAAGCGTATTATAGATTCGATAAACCTAAAACAGACTTCGCATTCTTGGGCACAACCTAGCACCTCCAGTGATGCGAATCATACCCAAACCCGCCCAGAATCACCAACTTTTACGGTGCGGGAAGGGTCACAATCCAGCTCAACTCATAATGAAACCTCGACCACTACTCAAGTAGCAAACACTACGACGATTACTGTTCCAAATAAAACAGTAACTTTTAATCTACAGAATTGTACAAACTTCACGTTCCACTTTTAATTTTTTGTAAATTCTGTATTTTTGTAAATATACAATGATGCATTTGCTTTCATGACGTGTTTTTATTACTTGTCCCTTTAGTATAATATATGTTGTAGTGTAATATATGTTCTCGCTGCTGAGGTGAAAAGTTGTATGTATCACGCGAGAGCAAAGTTATTTTGCAGCTCGTATTTTTGAGTCCCTCGCTTCGCTCAAGATTCTAATTCTGAATCACTCGCTACGCTCGTGATTCAACTATAGAATCTTTCGCTTGCTCAGGACTCAAAAACAGCACTCGCACCAAAAAACGACTTTGCTCTCTTGTTGAACAAATAACTATTATTTTCAGACACCATAGGTCCATAGTTTGTTAGTAAGCAACCTTATACTATATTAGTAACAAATGAATGCTTTCCTATTTTAAGTAAGGAATAGACAATATTGGGATATCATTCGTTCTTTCAGTCACGTTAGCAATAATGCATTACTTGGTTGACAAGTTTGTCATGGTATGAATACGAGTAATATTATAGTAAGCTTACTATAAGCTTACATTCAAATAGATTGTTTTTGGAAAGGTAATGGTAGGCCCCCAGCAATCAACCTGAACACATGTCTACGATGTACCCACAACGCTTTGTTGCATTTTCATACTAGTAGGTATCGAAGACGCCAAAGATTTTTTTAATACAGTTGCTCAAAACGTGGTATTTTTCGCACTACAAATCGTGCGGAAAGTTGGATTTCTCGCACTAGTGCTTTTTACTTTTCCAGTTTTTTTTAAATTTACTGTTGTTTTAAGTCTTAAACATAGAACTAAAGAGATTGTATATTTATTTCATATTTATGTGCTTTGTGACGTAAGTCATTCGTCATTACTATACTATATCTTATGGAGAGACCGCATTTTTACACATATGAAGTAAATGCTCCTTAGTAGCGATTATGTAGAAAATAAAGTAATATAAAATAGTAATTTTAATGTGGCTGAATACTGGCAACAGTTGCCATATTGAAAAAAGTCGGCCAAAAAAAGTACTAATTTTTTTCATTGTTTACATTCCCGCCTTTTTCATTACATTTTTTACCATTTGATTTTGTTATTGACAAAGGAATAAAATGAGGTTTTTTTTAAATACTGTTTTATTTTACTTTCAATGTAGTTTTTTCGCAAATGTATTAAAAAACGTCGTTTGATACACGTGCGGATTTGTCATTTTCACTTGTCTCGCGTCTTGACCCTCGCCTCTGGCTCGGGCCAAGCAGCCCTGAGACTCGTGAATAATGACTAACTTTCCGCACTTGTATCAAAAATAACTATACCTTCAGTATCACAGAAGGTATTGGATTCATCCTACAAGTCAAAAAGCAGTGCGTACTAACAAATTTTTGAAAAAAGTTTTCTACGAAAACAGTCATTTCGTACTAAAGCTGCAAAAATCAATCATTCAACAAATTGATACCACTGATATCCTCCAACTCCAAGGTCCAGGGCGACTCCAGCATGCGTAGCAAATGCAATTTAGCTATAAACTGGTCGATCTGCCGAGCCGCCTCGGGGTGCTGTTCACGGCGTGCCTCCTGGTCTTGCGACAGTCCAGTGATCGCGCGCGCCACTATGCCTTCCACTGTTGTCACTTCTGTGAACAACATAAGTATAACCATACATTATTAAAATGAAACAATGTACTTATTGCACACATACATATTAACTGCAACACCCTAAAACGCAATTAATATAATCCCTTACAACCTGTAAAAATATACATCCTTTCAGGAACGTTCGCCCGTTAATTCACCACCAAAATCTTTTAGTGTTGCCATTTACTCTCTTTTTTAAACGACTTCAAAAAAGGAGGAGGTTCTCAATTAGAATGTCTTTTTAGATCAGTTAACGAAACTCAAATAATCTTTACTTCATAGATAAGCAAATTGCATTTGTAATCCTTTTTTAACCGACATCAAAAAAGGAGGATTTTGTTTGTATGTATGTATGTTACGGGATTACTCCTGCATTTGTGAACCGATTTTGATGATTCTTTTTTTGTTAGCAAGAGGGTACCTCAGTATTAGTTACATTTAAATTTTAAGAAAATATTCCACCTCCAAGAGTGGCAAACTAGGGGATGAATCCGGTTTCGCGCACTTTCCTGTAACCGATTTCAATAAAACTTGACAAACAGATGTATCCCACGAATGTTTAGTTCGGTTTTTTTTATAAAAAGTTACAATTATATTGATTATACCCAAATCGGAACGGTCACCTATTGTTTAAATCGGTTAGTTGGCAATAAGAATTACACATCAAGTAACCGAATACACAGCTTTTGCTAACATAAGGAACAAATATGCTTTTGAACATGTCAATTTGCTGTGCAGCATTGACGCGATTATACGGCCTGCGATCGCACGCGCGTCTATTTTGGGACACTGTACATTTACCTTATAAATGAAAAGAAGGGACACGTTGTGTTGGGAGATCAAAGAAAATGCTATACAGTAGACATGACACTTAAAACTTGAAAAAACAACCCGATATACAACACACGGTAGAACCAGGATAGTTCTATTGTAGTGTTATCGGATTTTCATAGCGGAACAAAGGTCATTGGGCACTTTTGTAGGGAACATTTACCCAAGGTGTACGCAAAAGAAATAGGGTGCAGTAAACAACCAAATAACTGTGCTTTACAATGCTAGGTGTCGCATACTTGCAGGGATTGGGAAACAAAAAAATAAGCATATTAAGTCACCTGTGTATCATTGAAACTATAAACTATAATAAGGGTAAGGGTGCTGGTGAAATTACAGGCACATGAGACTTGTCAACTTATGTCTCAGGGTGACGGGCGCAGAGGCAGTGCCCCCATGATCTTTGTAATTTAAAGCTCTTGGTGGCACTGCAACTGTTATGGGCATGCGTGTAGCTTACCACCAGGCTCACGACTTGTTCGTCCCGTCACTTGGTATTATTAAAAAAAAATAAAAAAATCTCAGTACAGAGTACTAAAAAAAACCGACCTGAAAAGTACGTGGAATTACATATAATTACCATGTTTTATTGCGCAAACCCGGATTCATCCCCTAGTTCGCCACTGAAATATAATAAAAATCGGTTCTCATTTCTCAAAGTATATCGAGAGAAAAAAACGCCTCGAATTGGAGAATAGCAAAATCAACCATTAAAATAATTGCTGCTTATAATAAAAGTACGTGGAATTAAGTCTATTTGCTAAGTTTTATTGAAATATCCCCTAGTTCGCCACTATACAGGACTTGACACTGGAGATAATAAAAATAGGTTCTCACTACGACACTACTCAAAGTATATTGAGAGAAAAACGCCTTGAATTGGAGAAATAGCAAAAACAACCATGAAAGTAATTGCTCCTAAATTAAAGTTAGGCGCTATTCATAAAAATGAATCTTCATGCGTGAACAGCCACTCTTAGAGGTGGATGATTTTCTTCAAAATTAAATGGGACCACTATGGAGATACCCTCTTTCCAACAAAAAAAGAATCATGAAAATCGGCTCACAAATACTGGAGATATCTCTTAACATACATACAAAAAAAAGACAGTCGAATTGAGAACCTCCTCCATGTCACAATTGCCTACTTATAGTAGCCATTTGCTATCGTTTTTCAGCAATAAAGAAGAAGCGGAGTTAGATTTTACAGGCACTATTATTTAGCATAGCCATGCAAATATGATTTTTATACGCAAGAAATAAAGAAAAATCTCACAACTTTTTGGGTTCAGGCAGCTTTTTCTTTTGACTCCCATTGGTTAAAAAATAATGTATATATGGAATTAACAGTGGCCTATAACTGTATAATACACAAGGTATCTCATTTTACAGAGCAGGTAAATTTTGATCAATGGTCAGCGGCAATAATATAAATATTCATCTTATGACTGAGATTCCAGCACTAACTAAAATGAGCTGATGTTCATCAGACGTAGCTAAGAACCATCCTGATTAAATTAGCCTTCAAATAAAAAAAAACCGCTTTGACAGCCTATTCGTTTGCAAGCTACAACGCCACAAACAGATAAAGGCTTCAAACTTGTAACTCCCCCCTTTTTGCGTCGGTATTAAGACTGCACCGACAGGAACTTAGCTCTTAAATGTAAGGGAGAGCGGACAAAATCTAGGCAAACACTATTCTGCGTTCCGGTTTTTGAAGGGTAAGGGTTCCTGGTGAAATTACAGGTTACAGACACATGGGACTTATCAACTTATATCTCAGGTGGACGGGCGCAGTGGCAATGCCCTTCAGATCTTTGCAATTTAAAGCTTTCAGTGGCACTGTCCGCTAACTGAGAAGCGGCTAAGTGACAAAATATTTTTTTGAGATATCTTAAAAAACCATAACCTATAAGTTTTAGAATATCGAAATTGTTTAATGATATTTCAGTTAAGCATCGTTGGGGTAAGTTGCGATAAGTCGAACATGTTCCCCCCCGAAGGGGTTCCCGCCTTGTCGTGGCGGGGGGGCTCTAGTAGCCGTGGTCGATTTCATCCCACGGTGAAGCTAAGAGGAACCCACGGGGCCGGCCGATGGTACTAGGCTGGCCCGAGGAGGAGGGCGTTCCGCGCGGGACTCGTTTGGCCAGCGGGAGACCACGCGGATTCGCGAGGAGGAGGGTCGCGGGGGAGAGACGTGTCGGTGTGTCGTTGCCGCTCGTCCTGTCCTCCGCGACCCTGGCGGGGCTGCACCGCTTTAGAAGATGCAGTGGCGGCGGGGCCGCGGGGGAAGAGACGTGTCGGTGTGTCGTTGCCGCTCGTCCTATCCTCCGCGGCCGAATGTGGGCGGTTGGCCCGAGGTGGGCGCTCCAAGGGACTCTCTTCGGAGAGTCCGCGCGGAAGCGCGATAGGTGTTGCGGCGGAGCCTGTCATCAGATCCGCCGCGGGGGCTGGGGGAGCAGCCACTGAACTTCACAGTTGAGTGGATGTTGTCCTGGCCCCCCAGGGCCCCTGGGAAGCGGACTCGGGGGAGTTCGCTGCCCAGCATAAAGGGGCCCGGGATGGAAGGCTCGTCTGGTGTTCGGCGAGCCTCACATTCGGAGTCGGGGGACCGATGTGTCTCCCTTCTCGAGGAGGGGCTGCGCAGGGCGCGGCCAGCCGCTGGTGGGGGCGCGGACGAGTGCAACAGCGTACCCGTACCCCCACCTACAGCGGAGAGGAGGAACACTCCGGGGGTTTAGTGCGGTCGGGCTGCTCCCCTTCAGGGTTCAGCCCAGTCCCACATAACCCCGGCTCTGCCCCCGCGGGGCCGGGGTATCTGTAAGCAGATTCCCCCGGATTAACAAAAAAAAAAAAAGTCGAACATGTTAACTAATCTTAACTGTAGGAAATGAAACTATTTTTCCGGATTTAAATCGAGTATATTTGTTTTTTCAAACAAACCGACGTTTCGGGCCCTTTACAGGTCCCATGGTCACGGTTGACTGAGGTGGTACAGTATTCAACCAGTTATGTCTAATACACTCGCGAGCAACCAAATCGACTCAAGCGCTACCTCTACATTCAAACATTGTTCTATATAAAAGTATACAACATTTCAATAAAAATAATATGCCATTTGAAAGCTTGAAACCTAAGCTTTAAAAAAACATCAATATCAATAAATAAAACAAGTACCAACATGTTGATTTGCGCAATTAGGGAGAATGGGACTAATTACTACCTACGCTACCTGCTAGTTGCGCTACCCTCTACCCATATAAAAACCCCCGTGACCCTTGAATCCTTATCAGTCGCTTATCAACAGTTGACCGATACACATCTCCGCAACCTGCATTCATTGTTTTCAAGAAACCATGGATACCACACCTGTAGAAGCCGCTCAAGTTGTTGCCTTATTGCAACAAGGACTCAGTCAGCGAGTAGTGGCTTCCCAGCTTCACTTGAGTCAATCTGCTGTATCCCGAGTATACCGACGGTATCAAGAGACCGGAGCATTCACTCGGAGACCAACAACCAGCCGCCACCGTTGTACTTCTGAAGGAGACGACCGTTTCATTGTCTCAACCACCCTTTTTTTTTTTTTTTTTTTGACGGGGGGGAAATCTTTATGGATACCCCTGAGCCCAGGGATACTCAGGGGTTATGTGGGGACTCTCCCTCCAGACTGGAGGGCCTACCCCACTAAAACCCCCCCGGGTTTCCCTCTCGCCGGTTGAGTCGGCGCCGTGGGATCAGTGAGCATTCACCACGACGCCGCCCGGATCTCAACCACCCTGCGAAATCGGCACCTTACGGGTGTCGACGTGCAGGGCGAGCTGAGACGTGTTCGAGGCGTAGCTGTCAGTGAGTGGACAGTAAGAAGACGTCTGAAGGAAGCCAATCTGTCTCCAAAAAGGCCTGCAACAGGCCCCAAATTGACTGCAGGCCACCGGCAAGCTCGGCTACAGTTTGCTCGAGAGCATCTTAACTGGAGCTTTGGGCAATGGCGGTCGGTCCAATTCACTGACGAGTGCAGGATGTGTCTGCATGGCAGTGACAGGAGAGGCCGGGTCTACAGGCGTCCGGGAGAGCGATTTGCCCAATGCTGTTTCGCAGAAACCGTTGCCTATGGTGGCGGTTCTTGCATGATGTGGGCTGGTATCTCGTTGGAGGGTAAAACCGAGCTCGTTTTCGTGCCTGGAGGAGGCCGAGGAGCGGGACTGGGAGCTGATGGGTACATCACAAATATTCTCCTGGAACATGTTGTGCCCTACGCAGGATTTGTTGGCGAAGACTTCATCCTAATGCACGACAATGCTCGATGCCACACAGCGCGCGTTACTCAGGAGTTCCTTCAAGAAGTCGATTTGCGCACAATGGACTGGCCTGCGCTAAGTCCAGACCTAAATCCCATCGAGCATTTATAGGACGAGCTCAAACGAAGGGTACGAGCAAGAAATCCAGCTCCTTCGAGCCTGGAAGAACTGAAGGCAGCTTTATTAGAGGAGTGGGAAGGTATTCCTCAAGACAACGTCAAAAAACTAATAAGATCGATGAAGAATCGATTACGTGCTGTAATTAGGGCTAGGGGAGGCAATACCAAATATTGAATTAATAAATTTTATACTTCTTAAGAAAAAAACGTGTTTTATTTGTGTCAAACTCCTTTACCCAAAATCCCATTTTTCTCCCATTTAAGTTCAGACACCGGTAATTAAAAAAAGTATACATGGATATTAATAATGACGACATTTCCTAAAAGCTGAAGTTTCAAGCTTTCAAATGGCATATTATTTTTATTGAAATGTTGTATACTTTTATATAGAACAATGTTTGAATGTAGAGGTAGCGCTTGAGTCGATTTGGTTGCTCGCGAGTGTATTAATGCAAACCACCCTATTTTTTCACTAAAAAATAGGGTGGTTTGTTGATAGGTTGATTTTTTGTTTAGTTTAGATTAGTTTGCATTAATATTAGACATAACTGGTTGAAGACTGTACCACCTCAGTCAACCGTGACCATGGGACCTATAAAGGGCCCGAAACGTCGGTTTGTTTGAAAAAACAAATATACGCGATTTAAATCCGGAAAAATAGTTTCATTTCCTATGCCTATGTGTAACAATCGCGAAAACCTAAGAACTCGATAATCTTAACTGTTTCTAAAAGAGAATTTTGTGCTCCATTTTTTGGTAGTTAAAATGGTTATTTGACCTTTTGTCACTTTGCCGCGTTTTAGTTGATGGACGGCATTGTTGTGGACAGACGTGTAGCTTACCAGCAGGCGCACGACTTGTTCGTCTTGTCAATTGATATTGTAAAAAAAATTGACGAAGTACATACAGACTCGACAGGTACATACCCCCCTTCTGGCTCATTGCGGGCACCTCGAAGTCTAGTTCTGGTATTCTCACCGCTGTGTGGTCGCTTTTCACTACTTGCCGGTTCAGATCCGTCGGTTCTTCCACGCGCAGCTTCCATCTGCCATTGTTTTATATTTTCCAAAACTTTTAGAAGACATATCATAGGATGACACCAACAATGAATGAACTTGAAATACAACAAACAATGGCTGACGTAAGGTGTGTATTTTTTTATCAAAAGTTGACACAGGCTTACTTATAATCACACGGTTTCATTTTAAACGACGAAATTTGACCGATAATGTTATTATGGCTTGCGTACGTAAACACAAGGCCCCAATACACAGGACGATTCGTCCTCACGATCCAACTTGTCGATAGTGTGTGTTTATGCTTAACGATTAACTTCAACGCCAAGGGAGTAGCGACGAATCATTACGATTATCGTGACGATCAATCGAATAGAGGAATCGTCTGCACATGGGGTCTTTAGGGGTATGCGTGTCGCCATCACCAGGACTTGTTCGTCCCATCAGTTAGCATCATATATTTTTATAATTAATATGGGTGTCTCGAAATAATAGTGATTTCTTTTATATTTTTTAAAGAAACTCTTGAGCACACATCTTAAATTTTCTTGCGCTATTTACCTTCCCGCTCACTCATACCTTCTCGCTTGCACCCACATTGTTGTAATCCTACATTAATAATATTCAAGTTCGGTAACTGGCGAAAACATATAAAACTAGTGCATGTAATGGCACCGGCAAAATACAACCGGTTACCAGATTACGAGCGAAGTGCACCATCAAGAAATTCATTCACTTTTGTCTTGAAAATGTGGCTTGTTGAGCAATCACTCTACACGTTTGACTATAGTATTGTGTGATCTTATTAATTAATTGTTAGTAATTTGACATAATTGTAATGTAATTGACATTTTTATTTTTTATTTTATATTATTGTTTTTGTATAGCTTTTTTTTATTGTTATTAAGATTTAATTATCGTATTAATCATTTCTTGCAAATCAATTTAATTATTTGTTATTGTAAAATTTTTGTGACTTGTAACTTTTTCGTTATCAATAAATGACTATGACTAACTAACCAACTTTAAAATAATGAACGTTCTCTATTCTGCAATATATAAAAGTTACAATTTGTTCTTATACTTCATCTTTTACAGGCTACAGCTGTGGGGCCCCCTTCGCCGGCATTTTCTCCCGAATCGCGTACTAGACCTAAGCGGACTGTCAGGCCAAAAAGTGATCTCTCTTTTCTATAGTGCTCATGCTCAGGTACTTTTGATTGTAATTTGTTTTACGTCGTAAATCTGTTTTAACATGTCTTACTGATTTTCTTTTTGTTTTGTTAGTTAATGACGGTCTACTAATATTTTGTTTTCTGAATCTACCATCACAAATCTTGTTTTTATTCCACGTTTTTCACTGCTACTTTGTTTGTTGTGGTCTGTCAATATGACATTACTTTTTTTATTATTTTATGCTTAAACTCTTGGACGAAGTATCTTAAACTGTGGCAGTGGAATATTGCATTGTGCCTGGTGTGATCTCTGTTTTTATTTTAAAGTTTTTAGTTTGTGAACGTGTAGTGTTTTTACGTTAGTTTGTTTACGTTTGTTATAAATTTATTTTAATTTTTTTTTTCTTAGTTATGAATTAAATATCCTTTGTTTATCATGGAGTTACCTATTCTATATTAGTCAACCGGGCGGGACAGGTATTTAGATAATTATTACCTACTATTTTGTTTTAATTTTTTTTTTTTTTAGATATTGTTACGTTATATTCCTTTATTTATTATTTATTTTAGAGTTATATGTCTGATGATGATTCTTTTTATTCCGCTTGTGACATTAGTTTTACCTCCACAGCTAGCTCTTACTCTCAGTCTGAACCAGAAACTTTAAGTACCCTACTGCACAATTCACTTAATATACCTCATTGTTTTAATGTCTGTCATATTAATGCACAGAGTATACCCTCTCACTACACTGACTTCCTTGAAACTTTCTCATCTCCAACTTCTACTATTCACGCCATCTTGGTTTCAGAAAGTTGGTTGAAACCTTGTCTTTCTTCTCAGTCCTTTTCTCTGTCTGGGTATTCTCTAATCCGGAATGATCGTACTGGCAGGAGGGGCGGCGGTGTTGCCACCTACTTGCGCAGTGACATTCCTTTTAAGTTACTTTTATCGTCTTCCTCTGCCTGCTCTGGTTCTGCAGAGTACATCTTCTTGGAGATTGCAGTTAAGGGTACTATAGCGGTTCTGGGTGTAGTCTATTGTCCACCTTCGGCAGATTACTTCATGCAACTTGAGTCCGTTCTTGAACCACTTTGCACTGATTACAGACATCACATAATTATGGGTGACTTCAATACGGATCTTCTGTGTAACACTCCGCATTCCACTAAGCTTCTTAATATTGTCAAGTCTGTGAACCTTTCAATCTTGCCATCTGAGCCTACTCATCATAACCCCTCTTCCAATGATACACAGCTTGACTTAATCATAACCTCTCCTGACTTCGTTGCTGGTCATGGTCAGTTGCTTGCTCCTGGATTTTCAAAGCACGACCTTATCTACATGCAATACCGATTAAGGCCACCGAAAGTTAAACCCCCTTTGGTATGGATGCGTAATTTTGGTCGACTTGACCATCACATGCTGAGGAAGGATGCCGCTGACCTTGATTTCTCTGGGGTGTATGGTGCTTCGTCAGTTGATTTGAAAATCTCCAACCTTAACCAGTGTTTGATCAATTTGTACGATGCTCATGCCCCACTACGGGCTGTTAGGGTTAAGCGGCCTCCTGCTCCTTGGATTAACAGGGGCATTCGTATGGCTATGACTAGACGTGATCGATTGTTTCGGGTTTACAGGCGCGATAGGTCGGATTGTAATTGGACTCTGTACAAGACTGCTCGTAATAGGTGTAATGGTATGGTGAGGGCATCTAAGCGTCAATATTTTTATAATAATGTAAGTAATTGTTCTCCTGCTAATGTCTGGAAGTTTCTCAGAACTCTTGGCTTAGGCAAATGTTCTGCTCAACCTGACTCCTACCCTTTTGCTCCTAACGACTTCAACTGCCATTTCTCGTCTGCTCCTTCTTTAGATCCCTTCATTAAGGCGAACACTATTCGACTTATTGCTTCCAGGCCCATTTCTTCTTCAGTTTCTTTCTCTTTTTCACCAGTTACAGCTGACGATTTGCGTAAAATAATTTTTTCTATTAAGTCTAAAGCCGTAGGATGTGACGAGGTGAGCAGAGTGATGATTGTCAGCATTGTTGATCAAATTCTCCCTGCTATTGTCCATATCATCAACTTCTCCTTGCAGTATGGTGATTTCCCTCGTGCCTGGCGTAAGGCATTTATTATACCTTTGCCAAAAATATCTTCTCCTATACAACTTAATAACTTTAGGCCTATCTCTATTCTTCCTTTCCTGTCTAAAATTCTAGAATCTGTTGTTCATAAGCAAGTGTCTTCCTACACATTTTCTAACAACCTTCTAACCCCTTTCCAATCTGGGTTTCGCCCGGGACACGGCACAACAACTGCCCTACTCAAAGTTGTGGAAGACATTAGGCTGGGCATGGAGAAGCAGTTGGTCACTGCTATAGTTCTCGTCGACTTTTCCAACGCTTTTAACATGGTAGACCACGACATTCTGCTTGCCATCCTGAAGTCGCTTAACTTCTCCCCATTATCACTAGACTGGTTCTCGTCCTACCTTCGTGATCGTCAACAAGCTGTTCGCGTGGGTCCTAAAGTCTCCGATTGGCGTGATTTGGCAGCTGGTGTTCCGCAGGGTGGAATCTTGTCACCGCTTTTATTTTCACTTTTTATTAATTTTCTTTCTTTCTCACTTAGCTGCTCTTACCACTTTTATGCTGATGACTTGCAGATTTACGCGCAGGCATCTGCCGAGGACATTAATTCAGCGATTTCTGACATTAACAGCGATTTACAATGTGTTAGTGCGTGCTCAACTAATTTTGGGATCTCTGTTAATCCTTTCAAGTGTCAAGCAATTATTTTAGGTGGATCTAAACAGATATCCAAGATTGACCATACTTCGCTCATTCAAGTAGTTTATGAGAACTCGTCTGTTCCATTCAGTTGTAGTGTAAAAAACCTTGGTCTTTACATTGACTCCTCACTAAGCTGGACCTTACAGGTGTCCGAGGTTAGTCATAGGGTTACTTCTTCTTTACGTTTTCTAAACCGCTTTCGACATTTTCTTCCCATTAGTACTAAGACCCTGCTCGTCACCTCCCTTATATTCCCACTCATTGATTATGCTGATGTCTGTTATCCTGATCTCAACGAAAATCTATTAGACAAGTTGGACCGCCTGCTCAATAATGCCATTCGTTTCATTTTCTGCCTTCGGAAATTTGATCATGTTTCTTCTTTTAGGTCTCAACTTAAATGGCTCCCTATTCGTCAACGCAGACAGAAAAGAATTCTCTGTACGTTGTACTCCGTTCTTTTCAATCCCCACTATCCAGAATACTTGAAATGTAAATTTCAGTATCTCTGTGACTCTCATGACCTCCCACTTCGTTCCATGAATTCACTATCACTCACTGTACCTCTCTTTCATTCTGGCTTCATGTCAGATTCTTTTACTCTCCACTCGATACGGCTCTGGAACGCTCTACCGGACGCCATCAGACGGTCTCCTAATATATTTTCTTTTAAAAATAATGTTCATGAGCATCTTCTAAATTGTTTGTCACAGCAATAATCATCATCATATTCTGTTATTGTAAGTATTTTGTATATGTATAGTATATTTGTATGTATGTAAGTGTATGTATTATATTATTAAGTAAGGTATTAGGTTAGTTTGTTATATATATAATTATGAATTTGTTTCATTTATTTTAATATAACCGTAATATTCTGTTTATTTACCGCGTTCGTGAATTTCGTTTTTCTCAGAGGTTGACTGGTAGAGAATGCTTTTAGCGTTAAGTCCGCCTTTTGTACCCTTTGTATTGTGGTCAATAAAGTTTAATAAATAAAAATAAATAAATAAATCTTTTAGTCGTGAACAGCTACATACCTGACCCCCATCTCTGCGTAAGCACCTCCTGGTTGGATCTCATTGTTCTCAAAGCCACACTTCTCGCATGAGAAGGACATCAGCACCACATTTTTGTAGTACGGGATGCGTGTTAGCAGAAGGCGAGTTATGCCCTGTACGTAGACAGAAAAGAAAGCTTTTATTTTGACAAGGAAATTATTATTTTATTAATTATATTCTGGGATATAAACCAATTGTATGAGGTGAATTTCACACGTAGCTACAATATCAGCAAAGCATAAGTATAATCAATGACAACATTTACAGTTAACTACAAAAATATTAAGTGTTTAAATAACATCGCATTGGTTAAAAAATCTCAGAACAGAGCACTAAAAAAACCAACCTCAAAAGTTTGTGGAATAACATTTGCCAAATTTATTGATATCAGTTACTGGAAAATGGGCGAAACTGGATTCATCCTCTAGTTTGCCACCCTTAGAGGTTGAATACTTACTTCAAATTTTAATGGGGTCTATACGTGGGTACCCTCTTTCCAACAAAAAAAGAATCATCAAAATTGGTACACAAATGAGTTATCGTGTAATATACATAAAAAAACCAGTTGAATTGAGAACCTCCTCCTTTTCTTGAGGTCAGTTAAAAAGTACAAGGTGAACTAAGCTAATTAAATTAATAAAAATACTAAATGTTCCAAACAACCACACCTTCAAACTAGGGAAGATCAACGGACTTGGACTATGAGTACCAGAGCAACAGAAATCACTCCTAGGCTCCCAGAACACTCAGATCAGAATCAATTTAGAATTCAATTTAAATTTAGAGTCAATTCATTCCAGAAATTGGTCCTGACCTCCTACACCGTTTTAAAGTTAGGGCGTACAAAATGTTACAGAGATATAAATTTTTGGAATTTGTTAAAATCATTCTCAAAATCATACAATATTTTGACAGTGTGTGACAATGGAGTAGTGTTGACAATAATGGCATTTAAATAAGTACATCTTATTACAAACACAAATTTAAAATTGCAATATATTACATTTTTATGTGTATTGTGTTACGTAAGAAATAAAACTGCTAAATGAATAATAACAAACAATAATTTCAGCCAATTCTGCTGTCAAAACTTAGACGAACTTGCGAAGTCGTAACTTTGGAATATCGAGACAACTGCATAACCTTTAAATTAAACTGCATAACAAAAAATCTATACAAAGCTTTCTTCTGATTAGGTCTACCTCCAAAAATAATATCAACGTCAGCGATTCTAAAATTGCGCCCAGAAAATACTCTTGCTATTATTGTTCCCTATATGGAAAATTTGGAAGGCCCATACCCAGCAGTGGGTGAAACTAGGCTATGGATGATGATGATGATGATGATGATGATGATGATGATTATAGTTTCCCAGCAGATCATAATCATTTACTCCAAATAGTAAACGTGCAAGGAACTTTCAATTATGTTTACGAAACCAGAAAAGTTCCTCAAACCCTTTAATTTCCCCATTCAACAAATTGTAGGGTTTGAGGAACTTTCTGGTTCTCTCCAAGTTCTTATTTATGAAGATTTAAATGAGCTAACATCATTTTTAAACATAAAAATGCGACAAAAATATCGGCGTAAACAAGCAATCTGGAAAGTACTAGAAAATGCGTGACAAAAACTCACATTGGCGTGACAATTAACGCAGAAAGACTCTATCTCCGTGACTTCCGGCTCAGGGTCGTCTGCGCTTAGGTCTCTGAAGATAGGTTTCTGTTCTACCGAACACATTTTTTGCAAAATTGCGGATCAAAACAAATTAAATTATCACGTGTTTCGATTACGATATGTCACAAGTCACATTGACAGTCATATAGTTGCATATTTTTTATGTTTTCCTTTAAGGAAAAGGCATACGTTTACTTTCATACAGCCAAGTCTAGCTGCATTTTTGTTTTGCATGTTAGATAGATAGGCATACGTCAAGTCTTTAAAGCATTACATTCTTTAAGCATTAAGCCTCGTCTTCGGTGGGTATTCATACCCAGGGTGCGGAGGAGTCAATCCAAAGCGGAGTTCCAACGCGCATTTGACATTTTGTGCTCGGATACAAGTACTTTCTTGTTGCATTTCATTGAAGGCATTTTGACCCGCAATCTTAAAAACAGAAGCGGCACAATTCATTAATATATTTTTTCATTGCGTCATGTTATATAGAATAATAAATGTTAAATTCAATTTTAAATAGGTAGAGGGTAGAGGTAAGTTATTACTTTACTACTAGACTATTTGCATGGTAGAAAAAGTCAAGGACACCTTTAAAATTCCGGAGGACGCACATTTACTTAACGACTCAACATTCCGTCGACGCCAAATTCTCATACACTATTCGCTCATAAATTACTCAAAAGGTGTAATCAACTAAGAATCCATTAAAAGTGTTGCTGCCAGAGAAAACGGTCGCCAACCGCTTAACTATATAATTATTTAGCATGTGTTGAAACCTTGGACGACTTTAATAGTTTTTTTTTATCAATGCCATTTTGTCCCTGGTTTAAAGATGACGGAAAGCAAGCAGTAATGTGAGCATGGTAGTGAAATTGTAGACACATGAGATTTAACAACTTATATCTCAGAGTGACGGGCGCAGTAGAAACGCCCTTCAAGATCTCAGCGATTTAATGCTCTGAGTGGCACTGTAAGTGCTAGGGCCCTTTTCGTCCCGCGTCACTTAGCATCATAAAAAAAGTCTGGTATCGTATTTCGACAAAGGAAACTTGTGCCTTGCAATGTAATTTATTAGATGCGCTGCACTAGTTAGGGAGGTTGAGGCACCGGGTTAGCGAGGTGCGACAATTCTCGATACGGAATCGCATAAACTGGCCAGAAAAAACTTTATGTCCATTTAAGGTGATCGCACACTGCGACGAAAAAACCGAAAAAGATATGTGTAATAAAATCATATAAAAACTTATACGCGCCGAATCGGACGAATCGGTAGAAGAATTAGGAAGGTACCCAAATCTCACAAAAATTTGATTAACGTCATGTGATTCGGCGCGGATAATGCGGACGATACTGGCACATCGTTCACATTTCCTGCCACTTTCACTGTGTTCACACTTGAGGGTGTTTTTCCTTAAATTCCGGTGATTTTTCGCGTTTTAAATTATTTGTTTAAATTTTTACAACAATATATAGTGAAATCGGCATATTTTTTCCATATTAATCCTAAATGTGGTAAAAACGTGTAAACTTTAGGGGATTTTTAAAGGAAGCTACCACATTCTGTTCTGTGTTTTACCTATCTCTATTTCGTTGATACTTATAAAAAAAAAAGAATGAATCTGAAGAACTGACAGTAAAAATCTCGTCAAGTTCAATCAATCAATGTACATATTGTTCGCTTTGGCAACACTTCAGAAATCACGTAACGTCGATAATTCTTTCGTTTCATGCGATTCGATTCTTTTGGCGCGGACAATTAGTGTGCGATCACCTTTAAAGAACGAAATAACCGTTGTGCGCTTTATGTCAGGCGGTCCGAGAAGAAGCGAAACGCGCAACGTCATTTTCGGTCTTATTGCATGAACGTAGAGCTTTTTCTGATAGGTAAAAGCAGATTACGCTTTAATAAGTGTGATGACTCCCTTAATGTGTCGCTTCCATCTAACTTAACTTTGGATGCTTAATTATGTCTGGGTCTAACATTTATATCCATAAAAGGAACATTACGTGTTAACTCGTACAAATGGTGGTCCCTTTTTCACTAGTAACTACACTCCATACAATCCAAGACAAGAGTTCAGGAGGCCCACTCCCGCTAGGCAACGATGACATCACAGCGGAGAAATAACGCGACCTTGACAAAACGCGCTTCGAAACATATCCACCGAAATGATTACGTCACTTTTTATTTTAGTCGACTTGTTGATGTTACGCGGTACAATTGAGGATACTCTTATTTTCCCATAACAGCTGAAATTGTGTTGACTCTTTAATTTTGTAGGTTGTTATTAAATTTGCGCTTCGAAGATATTGTATTGAATTAACTTCGGCTTCGTCAGTTTGAATAAGACTGCGCAAGTGTGTACTTAAATTAAGAATTATCAAGAAAGTGATTACTAGTCGTTTAGTTTACCTATTTTCAATTGTTTTAATTTGTAAGTATTTATTTTCCAATTTAGTAATCATGTGTAACGAAAGTCAAGTTGGACTGAATCCAAATATTATGAAAAAAAATAGATCCTAACAAAAAGGCGGCAACGTAGAATAATTAAGTTAAATTCCACTAATAAAACTTAAATAAATAGGTATATAAATAAAAAATTAAATTTTTGAGTTCGGCATTCCAAAATAAAATTGAAATTTTTTTTATTTTATCGATACGAAAACCGGGCTTGACATCATCGGCATCCATCAAGTGTCGATCCTACCACAAATTAAACAAAGTCTAAATTAATTCTGTATAGGTTCAGAAACGTTTCACTAGAAGAATGTCCGGATGACACAGAGAGACGGCCTTGATCCAGAAACATTTTGTTTACCAATAATAATAATAATAACCAATAATCTAAATACCTAATATTTATGTAATTTAAGGAACATTATGTAAATTTCATGGTGACCTCCGCATTGCTACAGAACTAATAATTAATAGAGACTAATATAATTTGTCTATGTCCGTTTTTTGTATACATAGGTATACTTACTTTGAATATTACATCATGTATAATACATATGCGTATTTAAACATACTTATATGCAAAAGCAGAGTTAACCTTGTGCATTACCAGTAGCTTACAAAAAATTAGTTTTTATTCATGTAGATTTCGTAGCACTACTTGGAATTTGTATTATACAATAAATACATTTAAATATTCCAAAAACGTTTTCATTAGCGCCCTTAAGTAGGTTAATCGTACCACAACTACATGTCTGACTTGAAATTCCCCAATTAAAATTGAACTTTACTTCGTTAGCACAGAGTTAAAAGCAATATTAAACGTTAACGTATGTTTAGTGAGACGTTGCGTAATCTATAATTATCAAGAGATGACAGTGACTATACAGGGCAAAAAAAGTGTGTCCACCGTTGGAGAAAGACAGTCCTTGAAGCATCCTCAACTCAACCATCACATTTTGTGATTAAAATCAAAAAGTAACATTATTGGAAAAATCACAAACAATTAGAACTTTTTATAAAAAAACGATCTGAAAAGTTCATGGAATTACATCTATTTGTCAAGTTTTTTTTTAAATCAGTTAACGGAAACTGGGTTGAAATCCAATAAACCATATTCATCACCTAATTTGTGCTACCCTTGGAGGTGGAATATTTTCTTCAAATTTGAATGGGACTACTTATTGAAGTATCCCCTTTTCAATAAAAAAGAATGTTCGAAATTGGTATACAAAAATCGGAGTAATCAAGTAAAATACAAAAAAATAGACAGATTGAGAACCTCCTCCTTTTTTTGGAAGTTTAAAAAGTTACGAAATAAAATTAGCATATTTTCTATCATATCAAATAGTATTTTGCCGTATTTGACACTAGCCAAATGACATACATGACCGGCATAAAAAAAAATTACTTACGTCACGTTGTGTCAATTTTCATATATCGAGTTGTAATTAGCCAAGACCAACGAGAATTACTTAAATGTAGAAAAATAAGAATAACTGTCATTGACTTACAAATAAATGGACGTCGGGTCCGCGATAAAAAATGTCCGAACTTACAGAGCGTTAAAATCGAATACAGAGCGTCAATCACGCTTTACTCTTCGTTTCTTCGACTGACAGCGCGCTTGTCAATGATGCCGTATTGTCTAGTAAAGCCTTGTAAAAATTACTCAACTAAAGTGAAAAAACAGGGTGGTATATCATATTTTCAGTAAATACTACATTGTTATCATTTAAAAGTGTTATTTTATGCACTAGTATATATAGTATTTAACTTATATTTAAATTAATCGTAAATATAAACTACAAAAGCAATAAAAATAATCAAATAGCTAACTATCTCTTTCCGACTCATTGCTTGCGTAAAAGACTGAACGAGACCCATCACGTCAATTTCAATTGTTTGAAACACAAGCGTTTGAAATATTTAGAACAAAAATTTCATGGAGTCGCTTTGATGCTAATGTTATTATTAAAATATTTTTTAATACATGTTAGTAATACTTTCAAATATTGTTGTACTCTTTCTACTCATTTGCCCGAAATAACGTTTGCATGAATTTCCATAATCCCGAAAGTATTTTTTTAGGTGTTTCGTTTTTCGAAATATGTGTATGGCCTACATTTAGTTCTCTCGTGACTTTCGGTGTAATTTGTGGTTGTCTATATGTGTCTCCATGGCACCCGCGACACAGGGTTTCCCTAATGCGGTACAATATTGAGTGTGTACGTTATTATAATTATTATTATTAATCAGTACCTAAGTGTTTATTTTGGAAAGCGTTTCTCTTGCGCAATCAATATCACGCATTTTAATTTTGTAATTATCTCACAACGGCAAATACCCTACTACCGTCATAGCCGTACTTTTTCAAGCACAAGAACTTTTGCAAGAACTATGAGCAGTGCGACTATGCCTGTTGACGGAATCAACCGTTGTCAGTGATAAACCGCAATAATTATATTGAATCAATGTAAGCACTACGGCATATAGAAAAGTGGTGACGTTTTTGAGCGCAGTATAATTTCAGTATTATGCACGAACAGGTTAAGAAAATGGTAAGAAAAGAAAGGAAACCAGACCTGATGCAAGCTTGATGAAAGACCATAATATTAAAGCTTTGGTATGTGATTACATGAATGAGTGAACAAAAACACTGCATAATAATACAAATAGTAACAAGGTTGATAGCCTAACGGTTTGCACTGTGGGCACTGGATGAGAAGTTCCCGGGTTCGATACCGGTAGGATCAATTTAACAAATTAACTTTTCTAAATAGTTCTGGTCTTGGTATTCTATTGTAAGACAATAACCTGGTTTGAAACTAGGGAACTCTCTGTACATACTCCCCATGAGTGTCAGAGCAACAGAATCCCAGAGCAGAACCAATTTACAAAAGTTCATTTCCCAAATTGGTTCTACTGGGAATCGAACCTGGGATCAAGAACGATGGAATTTATTCCGGGGCATAACTCAGAACATCCAGGCCAAAAAAACTTTCGAAAAGTTCACATTTAGTTTTATAGTGGTTTTTTGCGGTTTTTTAAAAAATTCTCGAATAACTCGAGAAATCGGGTACGAGAATTCTCGGCACTCAAGAAAAAAAGTCAGACACCCTAGCTCGTAACAAATGGCATTGTATAAAATTCAACATTACGTATAAAATTTATTTATAAATAATCAAGGCTACTCCGTTATACCTGTGTTCAAGTATTTTTGACTAGAAGCTACATATAGTGCATTTTGGTAAGTTTCCAGTAGAAGCTGAATATGGTGTTTTTTGCGCCTTTCAATTGTTGCAAGCAAAATTAGGCAGTACTGCAATGACATTACAACTTAAATTCATCGTTTTAGCTTTTTCATATTCCTTTACATGTCACTACGTTTAAATAGGTTGACTTGGAACATTTTTTTCGTGGTTTTTGTATTAGACCCGTCGTCCATTTATTTGTAAGTCAATGATAACTGTCGATATTTTCGCGATTTGAGTGACCTTATAGTACAATTTATTTATACGACTTTAATTTCACACTGTATTAATACATAAACCAATGGCGAGCGCAAGCGCACGTGACACTTCCTAGTCGCTTTGCGAATTTGTTCAACAAAACGTATGTATGTACATAAATCATGTCAATGTGCTAATGTTTACTCGCGTTAAGGATTTACCTCACCGTTGATGTCATACATATATTTATTATTATGATAGATATATTGCATACATCACGCTTTTAATGGGTAGACTTAGACTACTGACCTCCACTTGCTGCCTATTTGACATTATCTCATCCGCTTCCGATACCGCTAGTTTTAAAATATACGGTTACTTATTCCGAGATAGGAAAATGTTATTTGAAAACGAAATCAACGGAACCCCACTATGAAAGATGGATTCGTGCTGGCCACAATTTGGAATGCAGTTTTTTTTTTATTGAGCAATGGCCACCTACTTAAATAGGTAACAGATAAATAAGATAATCAATATTAATTCCTTTAAAACCTGTAACTACAAAAAACCCGCCATTTTCTCCAACTACCCAAATTGTTTAAAATATTTTTTAATTTGGTTTAAGCAATCAACTTAAAAAATAAATTCACGTAGTATTATGCAAATACACAAAATAAAATAATGTACTTAAAAAAATGTTTCGTGACATTGTACAAAAGTATTCAAGGTCAAGCAGATACCACGATTTTATTTGAAATATAAAAACCCAAATGGAAATTAATTACGTAATAATGATATAATGTTGCGAATATAGTAAATTTAGTCAGCGGAGTTTGCGTTTGAATAAGTTTCTAAAATTTAATGGCTGTTATGACTAATAAATAATAATAATTATACAAAATTATTTGATTATAACTGCCTCCGGGTGGGTGAAGTCAGGCTGTACATGATGATGATGATGAACTGCCTCCGTGGCCGAGATTATTTATAGTTGTCTATGTGTGTGTCCGTGGCACTCGAGACACAGGGTTTCCTTAGTGCGGGGCTATGTTGAGTGTGGGCGTTATTATTATTTTATTTATTTTAGACTCGCCTCTCCCAAGGCCTAAAAGATTAATTTTGAATTTTTAAATGGGAGGGCGGTATATAACAAAATTATAAAAAAAGGCTCCAGCTGAAAACAGCGCTGAGGCTCTGCCCGGCTGCTGCTGCATAAACTTGAGCTGGCTAGCCCTTTTTCTTTTGATTTTATTTTTATTCGATTTCAAAAAAGGAGGAGGTTAGAATTTGACCGTTTTTTTGTGTGCATGTCTCGCGAATACTCAGAACCGATTTTGAGGATTTTTTTGTTGGAAAGAGGGTACCTCAGTATTGGTCCCATTAAATTTGAAGAAAATATTCCACCTCTAAGGGTGGGAAACTAGAGGATGAATCCGGTTTCTTGCACTTTCTGTTCACCGATTTCAATAAAATAGATGCAATTCCACGAACTTCACTTTAAGTCGGTTCTTTTTTCATAAAAAAGTTATAATTTGAAATATTATTGCGAATAGCCGAACAAACGTTACTTTCTTTTTCCCTTTCATCATCGTCGACAGTAGGTACGACCTCGCACTGTACGGGGCACGGGGCACGGGGCCCTTTACTTTTTGCTATTATGACCAATTATGACTCAATTTCTTTATCGTCTGAATATTTTAATGTATTGATTAGGCACCTACTTTATTCAAACCCACATTGCTTATGCAATAGTGGTTTAATTACAAAGCTTTGGTCGCACAAGTTCATTGGTTTTTTAACCGATTTTTTTAAAAAAGGAGGATATTCTCACATAGAACTGTAACAACTGTATTTCTTTTTTGTGTGTTTGTTACGCGATAACTTTGACATTTTTGACCCGATTTCAATTGTTGTTTCAGAAGTATATTATGCAAATTTAACTTTAACGCAAATGAGAATGAATTACGTAACAATGATATAATGTCGCAAATATAGTAAACCGAGTCAGCGTGTTTGAATAAGCTTCTGCAATGTTGTGCTTTATCGTGATTACGAGTTGATACTACCTCAGTTCGAATTCAAATTTTTCCATACTATTTAATACAGTTCACTTTGCGCGGGTCCGCGGTAGGAACAAACGAAACTGAAGCCATTTGAGAAATGTATATCGTTATAATATACGTGTTCTGTTTAGTTCAGTTGATATAATAATAATAATATAATAACGCACACACTCAACATTGCCCCGCACTAGCGAAACCCTGTGTCGCAGGTGCCATGGACACACACATAGACAACCACAAATTACACCCAAACTCACGAGAGAAATAAATGTAGGTCATACAAATATTTCGCCCGGCCCAGGAATCGAACCTGGGACCTCTGCGTGGCATGGTAACCGTTGGGCCACGGAGGCAGTTATACATATAGTATAAAAACGAAACTGACCAAGTACCTATTGAATACAGCGGTTTTCTTGTAAAATTGCAAGACACGTTTGTGTTTTTTCTGCATTTTCACCTCTACTAAATGTCATGTCTTTTAAGCCTCTTTCTAATTGTTTTCTCTTTCTATTTTTTTTATCAGAGCAATGGGCAAAGATGAGAAAGAAGACTCAGGGTTTGGATTCAAGGACCGCGCGAAGGCGGAGGAGACGCTGAAACTCCTCGAAGCGCACGACTTGAATTACCGACGGCTGACCGTCCGGGGACTTTTGGGGCGAGCCAAGAGGACATTGTCATGTAAGTTTTATTTCTGGAGTACAAATGTAATGTTAAAAGTGCTGCAAGTTCCTGGTGTGACGTTTCCGACGACAATTTGGTCGTTAGGGTAGAGTGTCTCTAAGGCTGTGGTTTATAAAAAGAATTTCGTTAAAAACCAAAGACAAAGAGCTGCAAGAAGCGCATAGAAAAATCTGTAAGGTTCGCTAGTTTATTCCGTGGCGTCTGTCGCGGTTTGCTGGAAGACGCTGGCTCGAATCCAGCCGGATCGAAAGATTTTTTTAGAGTTCGGTCTTTGTGTTAATAATTATAACAAACTAGTGGCGTAATTTCACAAAAAATAATTGAATATCATTGTGGTGAAGCTTCTTGACTTTGAATAAAAACTTAATTAAGTCTTCAGCCACTAAACATAAATATTTAAAAGGAAGTCGTTATCAGTTGAGAAACCGCAAATGATTCAGAAAATAATTATCGTAACTGAAGTCAACTGCATGTGAGCACCGGAACGGTAATTATTCTAATATAATTAACCGACTTCAAAAAAGTGTGAGGTTCTCAATTTGGCTGTATGTTTTTTTTATGTATGTGACGCAATAACTGATTTGTGAACCAATTTTGATGATTCTTTTCTTGCTAGAAAGAGGTTACCTCAATAATGGTCTCAATTAAATTTGAAGACAATTATCCACCTCTAAAGGAGGCAAACCAGGGGATGAATATGTCGAGGACAGACCCTCTTTATAGTTTTTGGATGTGTAATTATGTTTAGCTCTTTGTCTCTATGTCCTCTTCTTGTCTTTGTGTCCTGGCTTGTGTCTATGTTTGCTTCTTCTGCTGTTTTTTTACTGTCTGTTTTTCCTCTTTAATAATACACCTTTTCCTACCTAAACCGCCGTTTCCTTCGCTGTCCTCGATAGTGTATTAGAAAGATCCAACAAAGAAGAATCATCAAAATCTATTCAGAGATACCGGAGCAATCGCATAACATACACATATAAAAAAATGCAGTCCAATTGCGACCCTCCTCCTTTTTTAAAGTGGGTTAAGAATACTTAGCAAATAGATGTCATTTAATTATTAATACAAAGATCGAACACTCAGAAAAAACACTCAGAAAAAATTCCTTCGATCCGGTCGGATTCGAACCGACGTCTTCTTGCATACCGTGCCAGACGCTATACCAACTAAGCCACGGAACGAACCAACGAACCTCACGAATTTTTTTTTATGTGCTTGCGTCGTGTTTTTGTACTTGGTCTTTCAACGACTTTTTAGTCGTAGCGCCATCTATGATGTCATTTCACAAACTTTTGAGGTTTCCTCTTACGAAAAAGTTCCTGCTATTTACTCAAAAGGACCCTACCCCTACTCTGACACCAATCATTTCCACGCACAGGTCCACGCTGGCAAAAAACGCTTAAGTCAAAGTTAGAATAATGTAGATTGATGCTATTCGGCAAACCAATATCTTCTTTACAGTGACAAAAGCAGAGGACAAGATAAAGAACATTAAGGAAGCGATGGAGGTGTTCGAGAATTGGCTCGCAGAACTCGACAAAGACAAGAAGACTGATAAGAAGAAGGACAGCAAAAACGAAGACAAGAACGCAGAGGTGAGTTTGCTCGCTTATGAACTCTATAATATAATAGCCAATGCATAGTAACATAATCTCAGTACAGAGTACTAAAAAACCGATCTCAAAAGTACGTGGAATTACATATAATTACCAAGTTTTATTGAAATCGGTTACCGGAAAGTGCGCAAACCCGGATTCATCCCCTAGTTCGCCACTGTACGGGACTTGACGCAGGAGATACATAATAAAAATAGGTTCTCGCTACTCAAAGTATATTGAGAGAGAAAAACGCCTTGAATTGGAGAATAGCAAAACCAACCGTTAAGAGGTGGATGTTTTTCTTCAAAATTAAATGGGACCACTATGGAGGTACCCTCTTTCCAACAAAAAAGAATCATGAAAATTGGTTCACAAATACCGGAGTATTTGCGTAACATACAAAAAAAAACATACAGTCGAATTGAGAACCTCCTCCTTTTTTTGAAGTCGGTTAATAAAACCGCTTGCCGTCTTTGTGACTGAATAGTATATGGAGTTCCGCTAATCAGGCATAACGCGAAACAAAAAGTTACATACTTAAAACTTAGTTAGAGATGACGGTCTCAGAGTTTGAAATCCAAATTTAAATAAGATTTTCAGACATAAAATTACGTAATATTTTATATTTATTTATTTATTTATTTATTTTTTATTTTATATTTTTTTTTTATATTTTTGTCTTGGGTTCGTAAATTTTGTGGAAATTAATGCAGCAAGCGAATTGTACGTATTTCTGCCACTACATACTTAGATTTATTTAGATAAAATCATATTTTAGTTATAAAATATGGACATATTTTTAACCGATTTCAAAGGAGGAGGTCCTCAATTCGACTCTATTTTTTTGCCGGCATTTGTGAACCGAATTTCATGATTCGTTTTTTGTTGGAAAGGGGGTACCTCAGTATTGGTCCCGTTTAAATTTCAAGAAAATTTTTCACCTTTAAGAGTGGCAAAGTAGGGGATGAATCGGGTTACGCGCGCTTTTCGGTAATGGATTGCAATAAAACTTGGCAAACAGATGTAATTACACGTACTTTTGAGGTGTTTTTTTTTAAATAAAAAAGGCGTTATTATTATAATAATTAATTCGGCTAAAAAATGACAAAAAATGTAAAAAATGACATTTTGCTTCATCGACTAATGAAATCAATGAACAAATTAAAACTTTAACAAGGGGTGGGTGTTGTAATGTAATTTATGTTTTAGGGCTTTATTTTATTAGTTTCGTTCGCGTTAGTAATTACATTGTTTTAAATTTTACTTGAATGTTATTTTTATGCACTACGCGCAACTATAGGAGGGCTAGTATAAAAAGTTGTGAGTTTTTTACCGACTAATGAATCTAATTTTGCTATTTGCACGTGACCATAAGCGTGCTGGAATGAAACCATTTTTTCGAATTTGTTCGCGTATATTTGTTTTTTCAAACAACCTACGTGTCGGACCCTTTACAGATCTCGATTGGTCAGTTTGAAAAAAAAAACAAATACATGCTGTTTGGGTCCGAAATAACATTTTTATAAAAAAAACGACACGGAAAGTTTGTGGAATTATATCTATGTATTTGCCAAGTTTTATTGAAATCGGTTAAAGGAGGTGAAATTCAATAAACTAGAATCATCCCCTAATTTGCTACCCTTACATTTGGAATATTTTCTTCAAATTTGACCCGCTTTCCACAAAAAAGCATTATCGAAATCAGTTCATAAATCTCAGTGTAGGGTAGTAATCGCGTCACATACACACATCGATTATTTAACCAGAAATACAGACGAAATAAAGGCCATCGGTCTCTGGCAACTCGTCAGGCAAATGGGCCATTTATATCACTTTTAAATATCAAATCTTGTTTACACTGAAAACACAAATTAGAAAGCTGAAACAGTACAGCGCCAATAACTGACCAGTCAGTACGTCTCCGTATATTCCGAAAATATTCAGTATTTATTGTAATAAAGATAATGTCTCTAACATTGGAGGCTGTTCGATTCGGTGGTGCCGGAAAAACAGCAAAACATCTAATTACAAAACGAACGGAATCACATTTCATCGGTAATTAAATATTAAATATGTAATTTTTCAATTTTCGTCCATTATAGTAAAGCTCAAGTTAAACTGGTCGATTTGAAGTGAAACAATTGACGACACCCATCAGTTGTTTCAAATTCGGGCTAGCCAATCGGAGCGCAGCTGTCACCGTAATGATTTGGCAGAATAGTTTTCAAACAAATTAAATGATATTTCGTGTCTATTTCTGGTTATATACTCGATGCATACACACTACAAAAAAAAATACAAACCAGCGCTAGACAGACAAAATGAAAAACGCGACACTTTCAGTCATATTCAGTTATTTATAAGCGCACTATAAGTTTCCGGAACTGGCCACTTACATAAACAATATTTGAAAAGTAATTACAACATTTGAAAATGGAACTCTTTAGCTGAGAATACAGTTTGTTTCGTCTGACTGTCACTTGTTTTTAAATTGTGGCGTCATTTTAGAAATTGGTTGTCTACATCACCATGGATTTAACTCGTGAAAATTTTCGTAGCATGATTTTCTTCGACTTTAAGTGTTAAAATTTAACAGCTCCGCGGAGCTTCTTTCGGCTTCAAACCGGATGAAGCACCATGCAAGACGATTATTTATAGCTGGTTTGCAGAATTGAAACGCGGTCGTGTGAATCTCAGTGACGAATTTCGTGATGGTCACTCGTCCACTGCTGTGAACAACAAAAACATCAATGCTGTGCGCCGTATGATGAAAACAGACAGACATGAGACATACCATGAGATTCGGGCATTTTTAGGCATAGGTATGAGTCAAATACAATCAATACTACACAAACATTTAGGTGTGAAAAAACTGTGCTCTCGGATCGCGTCAGTTGGTGCAATGCAATGCTTACCAGATTCAACGAAGGTTAGTCAAATTTGGTGTGGGACCATAGTAACAGGTGACGAAACATGGATTTATAGTTACGATCCCAAAACAAAGCAGCAATCGAGCGTATGGGTCTTTCGTGATGAGCCGAAACCAACCAAAGTGGCGCGCGTGCAAAGAGCCTCTAAGCGGATGATTGCTTCTTATTTTAATAAAACTGGACACGTGGCTACTGTTGCTTGTTTTGGAGAATCGTTGTACCGTGAATAGTGATTGGTACACGACTATTTGTTTGCCGGAAGTTGTTGACGAACTCCATAAAAATAACCGTAAACGCCGTATCATCTTGCACCACGATAATGCCAGTTCTCATACGGCCAGACAGACAAATGAATTTTTGAAGATGAACAACGTTGACCTTATGAGCCATCCCGCGTATAGTCCCGACCTGGCACCTTGTGACTTTTATATATTTCCAAAAATTAAGAACCAGTTACGCGGTCAACGATTTTCATCACCTGAAGAGGCTGTCGAAGAGTATGAAATATATATTTCAGAGATTGTCACGGAGGAGTGGCATAAATGTTCTCAAAGTTGGTTCATTCGTATGTAAAAGTGCATTAACGCTAACGGAGTATATTTTGAGGAACAATAAATTCATTTCTGACCATTTATAGTATTTTTTCTTATTCATTCCAGAAACTTATAGTGCGCCCCACGTATATACCGTTGGAACCAGAAACATTAGCTGA